ATGCTTCTCTCTCATTTCTTTGTGTTTTCTTTATTTAAACATAGCTAATGATACATCTCCTAGGAGACATACTGGAGTAATAATTCTTTTTTTTTTTTTTTTAAGATTTATTTATTTATTTGAGAGCGAGAATGAGAGGGAGAGAGTACATGAGAGGGGGGAGGGTTAGAGGGAGAAGCAGGCTCCCTGCTGAGCAGGGAGCCCGATGCGGGACTCGATCCAGGGACTCCAGGATCATGACCTGAGCCGAAGGCAGTCGCTTAACCAACTGAGCCACCCAGGCGCCCCCTGGAGTAATAATTCTTATACTTTGTAGTCTTTGGATCCTTTTATGCTTGTAATGAAATATTGAACTTTTGTCTATGTGGATTATTTCTATCATTTATTATATTAAAGATTAAGTCTGAGATCATATTAAACCCATTCATGTTAACATAAAAACTTAATATTTTTCCAGTGGGAAAACAAAGATTTTATATATATATATATACACACATGTATATATATATATTTTAATGATTTCCTCATCTTTTTATTTAGTTTTTAAGGAAGATTTATCTACTTATTAGAGAGAGAGCATGCAAGCTGGAGGAGGGGCAGAGGGAGAAATAGAATCTCAAGTAGACTCCATACTGAGCATGGATGTGGAGCCTGACACGGGGCTCGGTCTCACAACCCAGAAATTATGATCTGAGCCAAAACCAAGAGTTGGATGCTTAACTGACTGAGGCACCCAGGCACCCCAGAGATCTCATGTTTTTTGCTTTAATGTCTGGCTTAGTAGAAGATTAGCTGGATTTTCATATCTTCTGTTTTCATTTTGTTGTGATAGGTTGTTTTGGTTGAAACATACGAAGAAAATCTGGCTTCTCAAAGTTACGTAGTTGAAAAAGGCAGAATTATCTTCATGGATATTAATATTATCTTAATAGTGGATATTCTTCTTTGATACTACACCAAACTGGACTAGTGACAGTTTAATGGTGTAGGATCTGAAACCTTAGTAATGACGTTTTCATACTCTGTTACATTAAAATTCATTGATTCATCTTGTGCTCTGATTGTATCTTTTATCCATACATGGTTTTTTATATCATGTATTTTAGTTGTGCAGATATTCCAAATGTTAACACTTTATACAATACTAAAAATGATGTATGTTAATCACTAACTATGTATCAGATAAATCTCCTGTTATTAAGAAATTGTCAAGGTCACAGTGGTAGATACAATAATACTGATTTTTGTTTGAAAGCTTGAATCTAATCTTTGGCAACAAAAACTGTCATTTGTTTCCCTTAAAGAATGACAAGCTTACTTTGTTCATTTTTGACAAAGTGTCTGCAATATACACAAATGTAAATAGTTGTAGTTTACCATTTGCTCTTTTAGTTAAAATGGTGTCCGATAGGGGATAGAAGTGACTAGATCAATTCCGAACTGTGCTTTTCCTCCAGACAACCATTGTACTTTGATACATAGCAAAAGTGCTTCATATGTATTCTCATTTTGTCACACAGAAAATTAAAAAGACATGCACTTATAGGTCAGACTTAAGAAAATCAGTAATTTAATTATATTTTTTATTCTATTTTTTTTCATTATGGTTCTTTAGTGAAATAGACCTTTTTAAAAAAAAATGTGTGTGGTAGTGAAGAATGCAATGACAGTAGTGCAGTCTGGTGTTAGTGCCTTGATTCTTGATAAAGCTGTTTTACTCACCATGCTTTTGTACCTTCAGCACAAATGTCAATGCACTGAAAATGGCAAGTAATATATTACTATAAAAATAATTGTGACCTCACTTTGACCCCACTTTCGGGAATCATTGAACTAGAGAATCTGTTCTCCCCCAGTATTCACCAGCTTATCTCATTCTATCAAGTAGCTCAGGGGTGTAGATAGCTAATATTCAAAGGTTAGTTCTGTTAATATATCTAGAATGACTAGAGGAAACTGGAATGCCCCAGTCATTCAGAAAGTTATAATATAGTTTAGTATACTATATTCTTTCTCTTTTCTATCATCTGAGCTAGGTGCTTCTCTGTCCTCTGAATCATTAGGCTTTGTTCCCAGATATCTTTTTTTTTTTTTTAAAGATTTTTTATTTATTAATTTGACAGAGAGAGAGAGCGAGAGCAGGAACACAAGCAGGGGGAATGGGAGAGGGAGAAGCAGGCTTCCCGCCGAGCAGGGAGCCCAATGCGGGGCTCGATCCCAGGACCCCGGGATCATGACCTGAGCTGAAGGCAGACGCTTAACGACTGAGCCACCCAGGCGCCCCCCCCAGATATCTTTTTAAGGAAGATATGTTTAAGGAATTTATGAAGCTTAATTATAAGTGGCCAGCGTATCTCTCTTCTGCCTTTGACTAGCTGCTTTTAAAAAGGAATGAATGGGGCTAAATTGACTTATCCAACCTAATGTTCTACTTCTTCACAAACATGTCTTAGGACATACAAAGGATCTTAGTGCTAACAAATCCATTAACTATAAGGTTGTTACCTCTTACCAGGCCTTGAGAAATAGACTCCTGCATTTAAATATTCTATCAGGCTTTCTTGTGTCCTAAGCCAACAGCTATCTTATGTACATAATCTATCAGAAATCCATGTGATACTGTGATTAGAATTTCTATCAGGATGACTTTGATTAATCTTAAGCATCAGTTGTCTCTTGACTACTATGCATTACCAAAAGACTACGAATTCAGAGACATTCATCACTCTTCATGCTTACAGTGGAGTTCATGAAGTATCTTCATGCCACAAGGAATTGGACTTAGGCCATAGATACCAATCTTAATATCTGTTTCCCTATGAGTTCAACTTCTTGGGGAAAAGGCTTAACAGATTCACAGCAGGCGCCCTCCATTGATGCCCTTGAGAACAATGCAGTGACCTCAACACGGGTTCTGTGATCAGACTTTCACACTTGGCAAGGAGGGAGAAAGGGAGAACAGAGTGCCAGACCTCAGGAGAGAGGCTCTCCTTTACCCAAATCGTGAGGTTTTAGTGGCTACAGTATAAATTTATTGTTTAATATGTGCTGTAGTCTGCCTCCCACAGGAGAGAAAATGATATACTCTTCAAGGCAAGTTTTATAACAGTGTTTCTTTTGGCTGTGATATAATGATGTTTCTGAGAGCCTTTGTTTTCTGGCCTCAAAACCTAGCTGATAAGCCTTCAGTTCTACCACATTTATATTTCACTTTCACTCTAAAGTAGGTAGTGTACATTTGGAGGACCCACTAATGTTAAAACTGTAGTAGATACAATTTGCATAGTGAGTCACCAGCATGATTCTTTTTCAGTTCGTTACTAAAAGGATCATTTGTTTAGAAAAAATAATGTGCTCTGCATTTGCATGGCATTTTATCATGTTTAGGGGATGTTTTTAAAGACTTTTTTTTTTTTTTATTAGAGAGAGAGCAAACAGGGGGAGCAGGAGAAGGAGAAGCAGGCTCCCCACTGAGCAGGGAGCCCGATGCGGGCTCCATGCGGGGCTTGATCGCAGGGCCCTGGGATCATGACCTGAGCCGAAGGCAGCCGTTTAACCAACTGAGCCACCCAGGCGCCCCTAGGGGATGTTTTTATTCTTACAGTTTTCTCATTTGATTTCTCAAAAAGATGTAGATATTTTTATCCTTTATTTATAAGAAGGTTATGTAGCTTGTCATCCACTCATTTGGTGGATAAAGAAGCTGAGCCTATCTGATTTCTGATCTAGTGCTTTTCAACTGTCTCATGATTAGGACAGTGCTAAACCTCTGTTTTATGACTTCCCCAATCATAGCAGTCCACGGATAAAGTTTTCAGTTATCCTGCCTGCTTTATCCTCATGATTATGTCCTAATTTTAAGCATTCAGTTAACAGTACTGAAAGGCATTAGAGAATACCAGCTGCTAAGGCTTTGGGTAAACATCCTGAGGGCCACTATTCCTGAAATTTCTTGCCCGAAGTGATGCCCGCTCATTTCAGGGTACCCCCAGCTAAAAGGAGGGTTCAGTTTGGCTTAGTGATCAGAGTGTCAGGTTCTTAGCTCCCAGAGCTCCTGCTCTGTCCTAAGTTAGTGTACAACAGACGTAATCCATTAACCTTTGAAAAACTTAATTTCTTTTTGGTCGTTTATTCATTTATTAGACATTTATTTTTTTATTTTCATTTTTTTAAGATTTTATTTATTTGACAGAGAGAGAGAGAGAGACAGTGAGAGAGGGAACACAAGCAGAGGGAGTGGGAGAGGGGAAGCAGGCTTCCCGCTGAGCAGGGAGCCCGATATGGGGCTCAATCCTGGAATCATGACCTGAGCCAAAGGCAGATGCTTAACAACTGAGCCACCCAAGCACCCCTCATTTATTAGACATTTAATACATAATGTTGAGAATGTGCTTCAAACATTTTTATTTACAAAGAGCGTGCAGAGAAGATGGTTTATATTAATAATGGTAATGATAGCTAATACTTATAAAGCAAAACTATGTACCAGGCCTTATTCTAAATACTTTATGTATTTATACCTGTCAAGTGCTACAGATTCCTTTTTGTTTTCCTACTAGAAAATATATATTAAACGTGCTTAGGCTTATTGCCTCTTTGTTTAAGCAGCAAAAGAACATATGGAAAAACTTGTGGTATTATTGAAGAGAAGAACATACATCCTATCAGCTGTTTACATGATACATGCTACCCGCCAGGAATGAGGATGGTGTGATGGTGCATAGTGCTTTCTAAAGAATAAGGGTAATAGATTAACCATGTTAGCAGATCTCTAGTGTGTGTTTGCAGGGACGTAGAGAGAGACTGATTATTTTTACTGTTAGCTTTCCCCATATAACTGCTTTTCCCTTTTTTTTCTCTACTCCCCATTAAATGAATTTTAATTTATTTAAAATTGGAAGATTTTATTGGTTTGTCCATAACACTAAGAACAAAGAATGTAATTTATAAATTCTGATCTTAGATTTAAAGAAATACTATTAAAAAAATTTTTTTTTTAGGTAACTGAATGTGAGATATTTCTGTCACTTCTGGTGAAATTTCTGGATGCAGATAAACCACAATGGTTACGAGCTGTTGCAGTAGAATCAATACACAGACTCTGTGTGCAGCCTCAGCTCTTAAGGTAAAACCACAGTAATATTTTGTTAAATAGATAGGTTAATGTTTGCTAGTAGGAAGAGTTTAAATATTTATTCCCAAGTATTAGTGATTTCTAAACAAAATTGTATATATTATGTATATGGAGCAGTAGTGGTGTGAGCGTGGTAAGCAACTGAGAGGTGGGCAAAAAAATATGGGTAGTAATTGCCATCAATCCAAATTTATTGGTTAATATAGCCAAGATGATTTTTTTTTATAACATTAACCTCAGTCTGAACCTTTGTACTAACTTAGTAAAATCACTCAGGTGTGATGAAGTTTTAAGTATAGACTGATATATCAATATTAATTGCTGTTTTTCTCAGAAACATTTAAAATTATTTTACAGGTCATTTTGTCAGTCCTATGATATGAAACAGCATTCTACCAAGGTTTTTCGTGACATTGTGAATGCCCTGGGATCTTTTATACAGTCGTTGTTTCTTGTCCCTCCTACTGGAAATCCTGCTACAACAAACCAAGCTGGTAAAGGCTAATTCATATTTTGTTTTTTAATATTCTGCCATGATTTACTGTATTCACTATTCTGAGAGGATATTTTATTTTTATTTTATTTTATTTTATTTTTAAAGATTTTATTTATTTTTTAGAGAGCGAGCGAGAAGGAAACAGCATGAGAGGGGAGAGGGTCAGAGGGAGAAGCAGGCTCCCCGCTGAGCCGGGACCCCGATGTGGGACTCGATCCCAGGACCCTGGGATCATGACCTGAGCCAAAGGCAGACGCTTAACCATCTGAGCCACCCAGGCGCCCTCTGAGAGGATATTTTATAGAAATTTTGTGACTAGAGAAATTTGGATTACCTAAATGTATTGGTAGTAAAGACTTACACTTAAAGAATATTCAGTCTCATTGAGGCAGCTATGTTTAGTTCTTTCCAGAATATATTTCCTTCTCTGGTATACTTTCAGTTTCTCTAATTACATAAGAATAAGAGTTTAGATGCTTATATTCATTTTAGAAGGATCTTCATTTTGGGGCACCTGGGTGGCTCAGTCAGTTAAGTGTCTGCCTTTGGCTCAGGTCATGATCCCAGAGAGCCTGCTTCTCCCTCTCCCTTTGCCCCTCCCCTTGCTTGTGCTCTCTCTGTCTCTCTCTCAAATAAATAAATAAAATCTTAAAAAAAAAAAAAGGATCTTTGTTTTGTGCCTCTCAAAAGAATCTGGTTCACCACCTTAGGAGGTCTATTAGTCTCTCTTTTAACAAAATAGGTAAACTTGATTTAAGCTTGTTTGGAAATCAACATATGGCTTCTTGTTTCTCTTTGCCTTTTTTATATTTATCTTCTACTTTTTACTGTCTGATTAATGATTTCTTAATTCTTAATTTTCACTTCTGATAAAAAATGGTCTAACAAAAGGTGTATTATAAAGTTTTTGTCAGTAGTTTTACTTATTAGTACCTTTTTTATAAAAAAGGAAGTGGTGTTCTGGGGAAATAAAGTCTCTAATAGCCAAAACAGGATTGATAAACTTCATTTATTCGTGCAGTATCCATTCTTATAGAACAAATTTTTTTAAAAAAATATTTTATTTATTATTTGACAGAGACACAGGGAGAGAGGGAGAAGCAGGCTTCCTGCCGAGCAGGGAGCCCGACGTGGGGCTTGATCCCAGGACCCTGGGATCATGACCTGAGCCGAAGGCAGACGCTTAACGACTGAGCCACCCAGGCGCCCCTAGAACAAATTTTTTTAATTTGAACAGATGTTTGTGTATTATGGATTTGTAATTAACTAGTCAATTGGTATCTTTGCTTTCTTCCCCTTATCTAATAGGAAACAATAACTCAGGTGGCCCCGTCTCAGCACCAGCTAACTCAGGAATGTTGGGGATTGGTGGTGTTACCTTGCTACCAGCATTTGAATATAGAGGAACTTGGATACCTATTCTAACTATAACAGTACAAGGCAGTGCAAAAGCCACCTAGTAAGTAGTAGTAGCTTTATTTTGTAATGAATGATGCCATTGGGATTATTTTATCCTAAAATGTTTCTGCATTATATTTTGAATTTTAAACCTAGTAATTCTAATGCAGTTTAGAACTAATTTTCTCTTGTCACATGTTGAGAATTTTACGTAGGATTGGATTTTGTTGTTTTCTTTTGTACTATTTACTGATGTGTTAGTGTTAACAGTAATGAAACAAAATGTGATTTCTTTACCTGAGGACCTATTTAGCTGTTTTATATGGCTTTTCGATTTAAGTATATGACTTTGGACTTAGGTCTTCTAATACTAACTGAGTCACCAGCAGCAAATTAGTTAACTTTTTTTAAAATCTCAGTTTCTTTACCTATAAAATGAGAGTAGTGATATATCTACCTTTCAGGATTCTATAGGTGAGAAAAGTTATTTTAACTGTGTAGCTAATTACGTTTTTAGAGTTTAACACACAGTACTTTTAGTTTAATTAACTTAAAGTGTTTAATGGATTCCATATGTGTTATTTTTATTGTCATTAGTCATTTCAGTTTAACAAATACATATTTGGCAGTGTATTGTTGATTTTTCTTAAGTCGGAGTGAACTACAGTGCTACAGAGATAAAGCAATCAATCCTACAGAGATTTAACACTACTGTAGTTACTATTAAGCAGTCAACTAATACATTTTGAATGCTTGGCATGTATAATTGAAACAGTATTCCGATGACAAGTAATCAGAACTCAAAGTGTGAAGCAGAGTGTCTGACTAGTTGTTTGTTTGTTTAAATTTGGATATAGTTGACACACATTACATAAGTATACATATCGTATACTTATGTATACAATAGTATACAATAATGATTTGACAAGTTTATACATTATGTTGTGTTCACCACAAATATAGCTGCCATCTGTCCTCTTACATTACTGTTACAATACCATTGACTATATTCCTTATGCTGTGCCCTTTATTCCCATCACTTACTCATTCCATAACTGGAGGCCTATGTCTCCCACTCCCCTGCATGCATGTGCCCAGCCCCCACTCTGACTAGTTTAAATGATAAATTTATATGGTATGTCAGTCTGCATAGTATAATCATAGTATTTTGCTGTTCAGCTTTATTTTGCCTATAATTATGAAAGTATAGAATCATAGAGGACTGAAATATTTAACTAAAATTCATTGTTATTCTTAGTCATTTAAAAGATACTAAAGTTACATAGTTTCATATAAGCTTTTGTTTGCTACAAAGGCTAGTGCTCTAGTACACTAGACTATCAAATTTAAAAGAAATCAGATTTCTAGCACTGAAGGAGACAATAATCTCATGCATTTCCCCACCTCATTTTATAAATTGAAAAATCCCCAACATGAAACTAGTTGCCCTCATTTAGCTTACATTTTAGTGAGTGAGATAGTAAAGGTTCAAATAAACATATAATATCACCTTGGGTAGTGGTTAATTCTTTGAAGAAAAAACAAATTAAGGGGATAGAGAGTGACAGAAATTATCTCTAAGGAAACAAGTTTGAGCAAAATAACATAATTAAAGTGAGAGAGTGAAGATGTGTGCTTGAAGAAGAAAAATTAAAACAAATGAATGACAAGAGAGTAAATACTTGGCAAAGTTATATGAATTACTTTTTTATTAATGGAAGTCTGAAACCAATTGTTTATTGATAATTTAGTCCTTACAAATTAAGCGAGTTGGATTTTAACTAGTTCTGCTACTAAATACTGTGATTTTGAGTACAGCACATTATTTCACTTGAAGGCAAACTTAGGACTAAATCTCTAAAGGAACATATAAATAGTGGGTTTTTTTTAGTGCTATAAACACTGAGATTACTCACCTCTGAAATCAAAAATAGCCAGAAAATATTGGGTTTTCTTTTGCACATGGATTAGTAGGTTTCCATTGAAGCCTCCCTGTTGAATTGGCATCTTTTATTCATTCATTTGCTGTGAGATTCAGTATAAAGTTATTTTCAGTATTTTCTTTGAAGGCATACATGTAAATCTTGATTGTGTATTCTGTTCTTTTATTGACTTTTTAAGTATATAATCATTTGAAAACTTAAGTAATGTAAGACAGAAGTAGTTTTGACCTAAGTATTGTTGACATATTCTTTCTGATTGATTACACTATGGCTCCTTTCAAAGTTGGGCTTGCGACAGTTTTGCAACTTTACCTTAAATTTAAAAATACTTAAATAAATGGGTTACGTTTATCTAAAACTGGTATTTATGTACTAGTTCTAATAAAATACCACTGAGATATTGAGGGAAGAAAGTGTGGGCTTTGTTTTAGGTTGTGGTATAAATAAAAATAAGCATAAATCACCTTTTTCTCTTACCTATTCTAGCACTTAAGGTCTTTACCATAGAATTTGGGATTTAGAGTTTGGAATACTTAGGATTACTTTCTTTGTTTTAGATGCATTTGCTCAGTAGATCATTTGTTCTTTGAGAATAGAGATTTGTCTGAAAAAATGCTTAGCACTCGTAGACTTAATGTGTGGCTCTGAAAGGCTCACTGGCTTGGCAATGATTAAACCCATAAACTTTACCTCCTTGTTTGAGCTTAGATCTCTTTTGATCAGTAATATAACTATATCTTTATTGATTACCTAAATTTTAAAATCCTCGGAGCTGGCACATACTAGGGGTTAAATTGATAGGCTTTAGAGTCAGACTTGGGTTAAGAACTGTTGATGGATAACTGTGTCACCTTAGTCCTTAGTTTCATCATCTGTATCTTTTAGGGGTTTGTGAGGAGTTAAACAAGATAATATACATCAAAAAATCCCTAGAGTTCCAGGCCAAGAGTTATTACACAACAAATGGTAGCTATTTATAGGTGTTGTTATTGTTTATTCTGAGTTTTGCATTTCTTTACAAATTACCTACCTCCAGTCTTGATTATGATTCAGCAACTTTTAGAATTTGAGGTTGGAAATCTCTTTTATTAACTTACTGTAATCTTTAGTGATTTCAATTTTGTTTTTGAGATGTAATCCACATACCATAAAATTCAGCCTTTCACAGTATACATTTTATGGTTTTACTGTATTCAAAAGGTGTCTAACAATAATCACCTTTAATTCCAGGACTTTTTCATCATCCCAGCAAGAAACCCATACTCATTATCAGTCATTCCCCAGTCTCCCTTTCCCATTCCCCTAGCAATCACTAACCTGTTTTGCATTTCTACTGATTTGCTTATTATGGATATTTCATATAAATGTAATCATACAATAAATACTCTTTCAGGCTTCTTTCAGCATGTTTTGAAGGTTCATCTGTGTTGTAGGATGTATCAGTACTTCATTTCTTTTTATGGCTGAATAATACTCTAATTTATGGATGTACTGTATTTTGTTTCTCCATCAATTGATGGGTATTTGGATTGCTTCCACTTTTTGGCTTTTAGAGATAATGCTGCTATGAGCATTTGTGTACAAGTTTTTGCTTAGACATATGTTTTCATTTCTCATGGGTATATACCTAGGAGTAGAATTGCTGAGTCATGTGTTATTCTATGTTTAACTTTTTGAAGAACTGCCAAACTATTTTCCCAACTGATTGTACCATTTTATATTCCTACCAACAGTGTTTGGGGGTTCAAATTTCTCCACATCCTCAACAGTACTTTTACTGTCTTTTGATTATTGTTATAGTCTTTTGATCATAGCCATCCTAGTGGACATTAAATGTTATCTTACCGTATTTCAGTTTGCATTTCTGTAAATACTGATGGCATTGAGTATCTCATTCACGTGCTTATTGGCCATTTATATATCATCTCGGGAGAAATGTCTTTTCAGATCCTTTGCTCCTTTTTAATTGGGTTGTCTTTTTATTATTTAGTTGTAAGTGTTCTTATATATTCTGGATCTTTAGTCCCTTATCAGATACATGATTTGCAAAAATTTTCTATTCTGTGGGTTGTCTTTTATTTTCTTAATAGTGGCCTTTGAAGCACAATAGTTTTTAATATTGACTAATTCAGTTTTATCTATTTTTTCCTTTGTTGCTTGTGCTTTTGGTATCCTAACAAATCATTACCTAATGTGAGTTCATGAAGATTTTTGCCTGTGTGTTCTTCTAAGAGTTTTTAGTTTTAGCTCTTATATTTAGGTCATTGGTTAATTTTGAATTAATTTTTGTATATGGTACAAGGTAAAGATCCACCATCATTCATTTATATGTGAATATGCAGTTTTTCCAGTACCACCAGTTTTTTTTTCCATTGAATTATCTTGATGGATTTCAATTTTAAGGAATTTCAAACCATAATTCCTTATTTGCCATGATTTAAGACAAAAGATTTGTTATCTTTCTTTTTGAAAGCTTTGTTCTAACTATGGGGTAGAAACTGCTCTAAAATTCAACTTTGACATATTAATGCTCTGAGTATTATTCTTACCCTGTTGGCAGGTTGTGTCTGAGGTGATAGCTAAGCTAGATATCTCACAGTAATACTTTCTCAGTGTGAAAATATCTTCCTGTTTATAGGATTGATTTGATTTTATAGTACCTTATTTTGAAAGCACCCAAGTCAGAGTTTGAGAAGTTTTATAATCTATTTAGTCTTACTCTATTTTATATGTAGTCTTTATTTCTCTAATACCAACAATTAAAATACTGGCACATTTAGGGGGAGAGCAAAAAGTAAATTGTTAAAATAATTAGTTATGGCAGTGGTCAGGCCTTAATTTTTCTAATCAGTTTCTTAGAATACTGAGAAAGGATCCCTTCTCCAAATGAAACAAACTCAGTAATGTCCATTGACTTTTCCTATTCTGTTGCTCTTCATTTCTCTGAACTACAAATACTTTTATATATTTTCATTATCGTGGCTTTTAATTAGTGTTTTTTTCTTAATTTCAGCCTAGAGATGTTGGACAAAGTTGAGCCCCCAACTATACCAGAAGGTTATGCTATGTCTGTGGCATTCCATTGTTTGCTTGACCTAGTACGTGGAATCACTAGTATGATTGAAGGAGAGTTAGGAGAGGTTGAAACAGAATATCAGACTACCACTGAAGCAGCTTCTTCACCAACACAGTCATCAGAACAGCAAGAATTACAGTCAACATCAGACCAAATGGATAAGGAAATAGGTATATTGATGTCTGTATTTTTAATTTTTATTTTGAAATAATTTGAAATTTACAGAAAATTTGCAGAAATACTCAAGTTCCCATATATCCTTCACCCTGACTTCCCAGTTGTTAACACTATCCTATTTGTGTTATCATTCTATTTATATATGTCACTATACTTTTCTCCTGACCTATTTGAGAATAAGTTGCAAACATAATGCTCCACTACCCCTTAATACTTTAGTGTTTTCTGAAAAATATGGACAGTTTCCTAACATAACTACAGTACAATCCCATCATAAATTTAGCATCAACCCAGTATTATCTTATCCCAGACCTCATTCAAATTTTGCCAGTTGACCCAATAATGTCTTTTATGTTGGATCACATGTTGAATTTAGTTCCATGTTGCTATACTATCCTTTAATCTAGAACACTTCCTTAGTTTTTTCTTATCTTATATGACCTTGACATTTTTGAAGAGTATAGGCTAGTCAGTTTAGGTTTGTCTTTTGTTTCCTTATAATTAGATTCAATTTACTCATTTTTGCTAGGGCTACCATAAAAATATTGCTGTGTTAAACATAGTCTATCAACCTAGCAGGAGCATACAATTATCAGTATGTCTCATTATTGGTAATGTTAACTTTTGTCATTTGGTTAATACAGTGTCTGGCTGGTTTCTTCAGTGTAAGATTAATTATGAACTTTTTGTGGAGAAATACTTTGAGATCCCTACTATAAAAGAGAGCTTTCCCGGGCGCCTGGGTGGCTCAGTTGGTTAAGCGACTGCCTTCGACTCAGGTCATGATCCTGGAGTCCCAGGATCGAGTCCCACATCAGGCTCCCTGCTCGGCAGGGAGTCTGCTTCTCCCTCTGACCCTCCTCCCTCTCATGCTCTCTGTCTCTCATTCTCTCTCTTGCAAATAAATAAATAAAAATCTTTAAAAAAAAAAAAAAAAGAGAGAGAGCTTTCCCTTCTCTCCCATTTATTTTTTTTAATTTCTCAATTTATATTAGTATGGATTCTTGGATTTCTATTTTATTTGAAAGGTTACAATATGATTATCGTTATTTGGTTTAACTCTCAGATTGTTCCTGATATGGCCAGTGGGACCCCTTTCAAACTGGCCACTGTGTCCTTTTATCATTTTCTGAGCACTATCTCACTATCTGACACAACACAATGTTCCAAGCTCATCTTGGATCTTTCTTGCCAAGCCCAGGAATCAGTTATTTTTCTAAGGAGCCCTCACTCTTTTTAGTTTAGTATTTAGAAACTAACACATGGGCACTTGTGTGCTTCTTACTATTTGAAAAGGAAATACACACACACACACACACACCTCTTTACATTTTAAAAATGTTTGTCTAAAAATGTCTAAATGAGATTTCTCCAGTTCTGGTTTAATACCACAAGGCTTATTTTTAACTTTGCATGTTTTCAACTACCTTCTCCGAAAGTGAGAAACTTGGTCCCAGTTTATTCAGTGGATTTACTCATTTGCTCAATTCCCAGTGTATAGAAATCAATCTCCTGGCTGAACAGCTTGTTACACTGCCAAGTTTGGCTCAATGAAGGGGAAGGGAATAGGAACTGGTATCTCTCTCTCTCTCTCTCTCTCTCTCTCTCACACACACACACACACACACACACACACACACACACACACACACCCCCTGAACGATCCTACCATTGATCCTACCATTGATATTTTAAAACAACTTAGTTTAAAGACGTAACTGAATTCTGAAACTGGTGTGGTTTTTAAGTTTTCATTTTTTCAAATGTATTTTAACTATTAGAGCTTTAGTATTTAATAATTGAGTTGATAAAATATGTAATGTATTATCAAATGACTAAGGAGGTTTTAGAAGGCGAAAGATTTATGCGATCTGAAGAGAAACCAGAGTTTAGGGAGGTTTTAGAATGATGTGTTGTCAAATACTATGCTATCTATAATGATCATGAAGTATTGTATGTTTTTGTCCTTTAAGTTAGTAGAGCTGTTTGGGAAGAAATGGTGAATGCCTGCTGGTGTGGTTTACTTGCTGCTCTCTCACTCCTCCTTGATGCCAGGTATTAAGTCTTTATAATTTTTTTATTGCATGTGGCAGTTAATAAGAAACAAACATGAAAGTAGTTACTTAAATTGGTCCTAAAATTATTTCTTAATATGTGTTGAACATTATTCTTTTTTTGCCACCTCCCTCTCCTTCATCCTATTCTTGCCCTGCTCCCTACCAGAATAGTTGTCATGATGTTTTAATGGAAAATATAATCCTAAAATTACAGAATGCCTTTTTCACTTCAAGCCTTTCTACTACTTTTACAGTGATGATAATTATCAATTCCTTTGATTTATTTTCCATAATGACAGGATTTACTGATTTTAAAATGCTTGATATTTTGGGGCACCTGGGTGGCTCAGGTCATGATCTCTAGGTCCTGGGATCAAGCTCCGCATTGGGCTTCCTGCTCAGCAGGGAGTCTGCTTCTCTATCTCTCAAATAAATAAATTCTCTCTCTCTCTCTCTCTCTCTCAAATAAATAAATAAAAATCTTTAAAAAAAAATGCTTGATATTTTAGATTCTTTTGAGTGCGTGACCATTTTCTTCAATAATGAATATATGTATTATATATTGCTTTTACCCAGTTCAGATTTTCAGGTATTATGTTGATTAGTTAAAATTCCTTCTAAGTATACTGATTTTGATCATATTTTTGTATAGATTTTCTTACAACTTCACTGAATACCTAATTCCATGTCATGTTTGCAGTATAACTAAACATAAATTGATCATGTTAAATAAAATACTTTCTCTTTTCAGCACAGATGAAGCTGCCACTGAGAATATTTTAAAAGCTGAATTGACTATGGCTGCTCTTTGTGGAAGACTGGGCCTTGTAACTTCAAGAGACGCCTTTATAACTGCAATATGCAAAGGTTCCCTGCCTCCCCATTATGCTCTTACTGTACTGAATACCACCACTGCAGCCACACTTTCCAACAAATGTAAGACTTTAGTTTATTCACAGTTTTTTTCATCTAGTGGAATGACATGGTGTAGAGAAAAGATTATAGAAATTCTGAGTTCAAGCCTCTGCTGTTTCACTCACTGACTGTGACCTCATTGAGAAGTTAATGACCTGGAGCTTCAATTATTTCTCTCTCTTTAAAACAATGGGGGTGCGGGGAAAATAATACCAATTTTAAACAATAATTGTGAAGATAGAAGAAAATCTGGAAGTTTTTTGTAAACTATCATACTGTTGAAATGGTCGTTTTTATTTATTTTTTAACAGAACTTGTAGAACAACAATGCTTGCAACCACTTAGATTAACATTTCAGTTTTTTTCTTGTTGAATACTTTGAAAACACTCGTTTGTTACATGTAATATAAATTTGTTTCAATATGATACTTAGTTTTCAAACTGAGAACATGAAAATTGGCCTCTAACTTTAACTAGAAAAGTTTATTGAGAATGAATGTTAAAATACTTAATGTGTCCTAATTCTGTTTTGCTTGTGAAGAAGTCTGCCAAAGTTTTATAATTTTTAAAAAGTTATATAGAAAATTACTTAAAATTTATTTAACTTATCTTGGTTTTTATACCTCCTGAGTTTTAAAAATGTTTGCATATAGATAATAGGTAACTACATAAGTATCATAGTTGAACTTAGTTTAATCAAATTAATGTTTTAAAATACAACATTACTGGGGCGCCTGGGTGGCTCAGACGGTTAACGCCTGCCTTCAGCTCAGGTCCTGGGATCGAGCCCTGCATTGGGCTCCCTGCTGAGTGGGGAGTCTGCTTCTCCCTCCCCCTCTCCCTCTGTTTCCCCCCACCCCCGCTTGTGTGCACTCTCTCTCTCAAATGAATTAAAAAAATAAAATAAAATAAAATATAACATTACTGGGGCCCCTGGGTGGCTCAGTTGTTAAGCGTCTGCCTTCAGTTCAGGTCATGAACCCAGGGTTCTGGGATCGGGCTCCGCATTGGGCTCCCTGCTCTGCGGGAAGCCTGCGTCTCCCTCTCCCACTCCCCTTGTTTGTGTTCCCTTTCTCACTGTCTCTCTCTCTATCAAATAAATAAAACATTTTTTAAAAAGAATTAACATTACTTTGAATGCAGTGTGAGAAGTAAATCTTAATTATTTAAGCTTTCCTTTGTGTTCTAGCATATTCCATTCAGGGCCAAAGTGTTATGATGATAAGTCCATCAAGTGAATCTCACCAGCAAGTTGTGGCAGTGGGTCAACCTCTCGCAGTCCAGCCTCAAGGGACAGTAATGGTAAAGTACTTTTCTTATTTTTGTTATCAACTATTTAGCACACCTTTTATACCTTTGTTTTTATGTTTGCCAAATTTTATCACTATAGTTATTTACTCTTTTTTACCTGGACGATTGGTACCTTTAGAAGACATTAGCAATTGACATTATCATAAGCAGTTATGATAACACAACTTTTTTTTTCCCCCTGAAAAGTAGTTTATTTCAGTCATCTTTTTAATAGTAACTATCACAGAAGATTAGCTCCAACCATGATCATGGCTATAATGTATATCTTACAGGTATATTCTGAAATAATGTAATTAGGATAAAAATAGTTTACATGGTTTCCTTTTAATATAGAACAACTCTGAGGCATTTGATTTCTACAAAATGCTAATTCGGAGGAATCAGAAAAAAAGGAAGGTGCAAACCATGAAATGCCATTTCTTCTTATGGTATTCTTAAAACATTATTTTCCAGTGAATTATGAGTAGTAAGGACCAAATTAAAAGAAATATATTCTCCATGATGATGATAATAATGATGATGATGGCAGCTAAGATTTATTGAATTTTATCTTATCTGATTTAATGCCCTCAGCTGTTTACATTCTAAAGAAATGAAATGATGGGTAGAGAGGTTAATTTGACTAAGGTTATGGTAGTTCCATGACATGAATTCAGCCAGTGTGACTCCAGGTCAATGTCAAACTGTCCTTTATGCAGTTTTAATATTTGTTTACAGGTTGATCTTCAAAATCATAATGTAAACCTACTGGTATGACATGATACCGGTTTAGCTATACCTCTTTCACTGCTTTTGTTTTCAAGTAAAGTAAAATCTGTAAGCTTTTATATTATTTGTTAAAACTCTTTACTTAACCTTCCCCATCTGGAATCTCTTATGAGACGTTCTAATATATATATGATAACACAACTTTTAAGCAAATTATTTTGTTGTGTACAAAACCATCCAAAACCATTTTAATATTTTTGTTTTTTTATTTCAAAAAATATTTGAATATGATAATGCTGCTTTACAAGAATGTATAACAGTTCTTACAAGTATATCTTTTTAAAAAAATATATATAGCTCACTTCCAAAAATATCCAGTGTATGAGGACTTTACTTAACTTGGCACACTGCCATGGAGCTGTGCTTGGAACATCATGGCAACTTGTCTTGGCAACTCTACAGGTATGTTGTAGGTTCTGGGTCAGAGGTCAGTGTTGTTTTTATAGCTAAGTGCTAGCAGTTAAATTAAGCAATGCCTGTTGGTGCTTTGGGCAGTTCTGAAGAATAGGCAGTAAGTTGGAAGAAGGAAAAGTTAGAAAGGAAAAAAGAGGTGGCTTGTATTGTACAAAGTGATGGAACGCTTCTCTTAATGGCTTAAGTTCTACCTCCTATGCTTGGTATAAGAAGCATTGTATATGAATAGTAATTACTAACTTAAATTTAGTTATTGGAAACCTATTTCTGATTTTAATTTTAGTTATTAGAATTTTTATAATTTTATAAATTTCTTTATTTTTTTTCCTTTAATTTTACAGCATCTTGTATGGATTCTGGGATTGAAGCCTAGTAGTGGTGGTGCCTTGAAACCTGGGAGAGCTGTAGAAGGACCCAGTACAGTAAGCTCTAGTTAGTTTACTCAATTTGTGCCTCCTGAAATGTTCTTATGTTACATTTAATTGTATTCTTCTCTTAGGTTCTGACAACAGCAGTGATGACAGATTTACCAGTGATATCCAATATACTTTCAAGATTGTTTGAAAGCTCACAGTAAGAATCAGTTTTTAAAATTGATAGAAATATTATTAGTGTATATTTTAGATCAGAATGTTTTATTTCTTCATTTTCATTATAGGTATCTTGATGACGTATCATTGCACCATTTAATAAATGCACTTTGCTCCTTATCCCTAGAAGCAATGGATATGGCCTATGGAAATAATAAGGTGTGATATTCTTTCTGTTTTAAATATGGTACACTATTGAGTTAAATAAGATGTACACTCATTATGATCTTAGTATTTTAGTAGTGAGACTAATGCTTACCTTGCAGGCTCTCTCAATTCTGTTGAGTAGGGTTGTTATTTGTTGAAGGGGGGAGTGAAGAGGACATGATGTAGTTTGTGATATGTCTAATATGTATTATAATTTTAAACTGTGTCTATTTCTCTTGGGTACTGAGTATTTTAAGAAACATTTTGATAAAGAATAAAGGCAATACCACATTTATAAATAAGTTCCATAAAATGTCACAATAATATTTGTAATATGATTGGGGCAATATAAGATTTAAATCAAGCAATATATATATGTCTCAGTTTCTCTTGCCTTCGTTGGGATGGAAAATAAGGAGCTAATCATTTCTTTCTAAAGGTAATGATTCTCCCTACCTTGAAAATTAAATTTTTGCTTTGCTCATTGACTAAATGAATAGAACAGTACTTTTGAATATTGACATTCAAGAACATTTCTTTCTGTGCTCAAAATATCATTTCTATTATATTGGGAAGCACAGGAATCTATGGATTTATTTATATTTTAGAAATTATTTAAAATACAGTGTTTTAAAATAAGTATAAAGTCACCATTTACAAATAAGTGAAGATACCCAGAACATGATTAAAAAGCAGAGAGTGCAGCTTTATAACTTATTTAACATATACCTGTGAGAATCCAAAATTATGTTGTTTCTGCCTAGACCTAAATTATATTTCTTTATACTGTGGCTTGTCATATGTAACACTGATTTAACGATTAACCAATAGGGTTTTATTTAGGAGAAGTTTTGTATATTATAATACATAGCTAGAGAATTACATAAACAAGCAAGTGTTTGAAAATATGTATTATAGTTTACTCCAAATTAAGGCAAGAGTAATACAAAATATAGTGAAGTAATCAATTTCTTGATATCTTTAGTAGTCCTACATCTTTAAGATTAACTCTTAACACACAAATATATTTTTAATAGAGTATCTTAATTAAATCTGAGCAAGTTTCTATGGTAGTATCTTGAGAATTTATGTATTCACTCAGTAACCACAGTATATTTACTACGTACTGATACTCTGCTAGGAAATACAAAGGAAATATAAGATTTTTACTTTCAAATAGCTCATGGTTCAGTGGTAGTTAAAGTGGTCTAAGAGTTTAAATAAAGTTATAGATATTAAGTGATGTGAGACTTACTTTCTGCATCTTTAGTGTCTTGTTATGGAAGATGTTTTTAGTGCATGTTTCTCGTAAAGGAATTAAGATTAATCAAGATGAATTCATTTGTGATTGGAGTTGGATATTGAAGGAATGGTATAATTTAGATAGAAAAGGGCAGTTTTGTGAAAATTAAAGGAGAAAAATGTTATAAGAAGTCAAGAAGAATGAGAATGGAGAAGAAATGGGAAATTTGATTATTATTAGTTTATTGTTAACCTGGAAGAATACAATTTCAGAAGAGTGGTAGGAGCAGATGTGATATTTCAGGGAGGCTTTAGAGGGAACGGTTGTTGAGAACATAGATGCATTGGAATGGAGATTATATTCCTGAGAATGGGTTCTCATTTTTCTATTATAGAATTCAATTTTGTAAAGTGAAGTGTAAATGAGAAACAGAAATAAAAGTTTATAAATATTCAAGTATAAAAAATTTTTAAATGGAGGCATAAAACAGTTTATTTTTTAGTTGTGCTTTCTATAAAAAATATAAAATATGCAGATGTTGAAATAAGTAGAAACTTGTATAATTTTCTTCATTGCTTAAAAATACTTTATCACTGTGATATATATATATATCCTTAGAATAGGGATTAAAGGTGTATATATCAATGTCCTTTATTGTAGCTTCAAAGTGACCAGTTATCTCATTTTTGGTCCTCATTTCAGGAATTTGTGCTAATGTGTTGAGGAAGTAGCTTATGGTAAAGTTTGCAAATTCTTCCCTACAAGAAGGTGGGGTTGATGATATTTGTATATACCAAGCTCAGTATAACAGAGACAAAAATAAAAAAAAAAAACAACTGTTGTTCATTGTTTACTATATGTCAGGCACTTACATTATTTTATTTAATCATGTGAAACAAATCAGTGAGGTTTGGTGGTAGTATCCTCTTTTTTACAGATAAAATATGAAAACAGAGAACTTAACTAATCTCCCTGGGATCACCTATTTGGTAAATGTTAGAGGTTTTATTTGAACCCACATATGTATCATTCTAGAGCTTTATTCTTAACCACGTCACTGGTGGCTCTAACTTTTGTGTGCATCAAAGTCTGCTGTAGAGTTTTTTCTATTACGCATCTGCCTTTGGCTCAGATCATGATCCTGGGATCCTTGGATTGAGTCCCGCATCTGGCTCTCTGCTCAGCAGGGGAGTCTGCTTCTCCCTCTCCCTCTGCCCCTGCTTGTGTGCTCTCTGTCTTGCTTGCTCACTCGTTCAGATAAATAAATAAAATTAAAAAAAAAAAGAGTCCTGTTGAGTTTTTAAAAAATACAAATGCTAGGACCACATTCTAGGCTTCCTGAATAAGAATCTTTGGTTATGAGACATGGACATCTGTACATTCTTTTAAATGCCACATGATTCCTGTGTACATTTTGGTTACAATAAGCAGAAGGAGGAGGAGGAAGTAATACTAGGCAACATTTATGAGGACTTACTATGTGCCAGATACTTTCTAACATATGATTGTTTCTGTATATTATTATCTCCATTTCATAGATTAAAAAAATTTAGTGGAAGTAGTAACTTACTCAGTATTACATAGCTATTAAGTGGTAGAGTTGAAATGAAATCCTAAGCAGTTACAGGCAGTTCACAGGTATCATGCTGTTTCTACAATGATACAGTTTTCTACCACAGAAATTTTTAAGGTGCCCACAACATTAGCACATGCAGAAAGGATCAGTCTGACCATATTTGTCTCAAAACAATACTAGTTCCCTTTCTGATTGGTGAAATGCCAGCAACTGAGGAGAGGGGTTTGTCTTCTATTTCTGCTACTTTTTTGTTAGTGTCTAAATTGACAGGTCTGATATCTGCCATATTTCTGACTTCATACTTCTTTCCCCTGCTCTCTGTTGTCTTCTTTCTGCATTATTCATACTTCCTGACATTCACACATAAAACCTGAATATTTGAAGATTATGCTCATAAGAATATATATTAGTCATTCTGGGCTGCCATAGTAAATTATCACAGACTGGGTGGCTTAAACTACAGAAATGTATTTTCTCATAATTCTGGAGGCTGCAAGTCTGAGATCTAGATGCCAGCATGGTGGTTCTAGTGAGGGCTCTCTTCCTGGCTTGAAAGATAGCTGCCTTCTCACTGTGTCCTCATGTGGTGCGGGAGGAGTGCTCAAGAGTGCACTAGCAAATTCTCTGGTGTCTCTTCTTTTAAGGCGTTAATACTATCTTACCAGAGTTTTACCCTTAAGACCTCATTTAACCTTAATTACCCTCTATAGGCCTTATCTCCAGATATCATCAATTTGGGGGTTAGGGCTTCAACATAGGAATTTTAGGGGGACACAGTTTAAGTCTATGGCAGAATGCATCTTTCCTTCTGGTCAGAAGACTAGCCATTCTATGTGTTTGAAATAACTTTTGAAGTTTTTACTTTTTCCTCATGAAGGTGTTCTCTTCCTAACCAAATTTTCCAATTAGAAGCTACTCTGGATACTTGGGGGTGGGCAGGAAGGCTCGTCTCATGATAACTGAAGTTCTGTTATAATTATTGCAAACTTTATGCTAGTTAGATATTAATTATAGTCATGCTTTTCAGAGTATTGTCAGTTTTATTTACATTTGAGGTACTAAAAATTCTTATAATAGCAAAATGCAATATATTTTCTCTTTAGGAACCATCTCTTTTTGCTGTTGCCAAATTGTTAGAAACAGGTCTAGTTAACATGCACCGAATAGAAATTCTTTGGAGACCTCTAACTGGCCATCTACTTGAGGTAACTTTTTTTCTTAAATACTGTGTTTACTTTTTGTTAAGAATGAAGACAAAAACATTGAACTAATGATTCTGGATAACCATATGAAAAACCAGCATTACCATTTTTTTCCTGGTACTTATATCTGTATAATTTACCAAAGACTAAAGTTTTATAATAATTGCTTTGGTGAAGGAAAAGGTGTTTTTGTTTTTTTTTTTTTTTTTGGCTGAAAATGGGTGATACATCAATGCAATCTCTGAAGGCTCCTTTAACTGTTAGCCAGGGACCTCTTTCTTTTGTTAATACGGTCTCTTGATCCACCTCAGTTTCAGCTAGTTCTGAAACTTCAAGGGCTGAGAGTTAGTAGTAAACACTGTGTCTTTACAGCCTTTCCTGTGATGAGATAGCTCTTCTGCAAAGGGAAAAGCTTGTTTGGTATCACTAATTATAGATAGTACACAGGGAATTTCATCTGAATTTGTATACTCTTGTGTCCAAGTTGAAATGTTTGTTAATAATTAGCTACTTCTCAGTAACAGCTGCTTCTGTCAGACACACATGTCTTCATGTGTGCTTTAGGTTTAGGTTGCCAAGATCATTTTGTATTAGTTGAGTAAGCTAGGAAAGGTATTATTCTTAATAAGAAAAACAAATGTGCTTGACCTTTTCTTTATTTTTTTTCTGTTTTATTGGGATTACTTTTATGAATTATTAAAGGATAGATTTCTTTATCATGGACCTTCTCACCAAATGGCACAAAAATAAGTTTTTAAGATTTTAGCATAGTATTTGATTATGAGGGTAGGCCTAATTAGGAACCTTAGTGTCAGCTTGCTTCTTTTGTTTACTCTGATGACACAATTTACTTTTATGACATCCTTTTTTTTCTGTGACTTGTTTAGTTTCATCTTTTATCTTCTGTCTCTCTATTGCTTCCCTTGCCCCTTATACAGAAGGTAAGCTAACTTATATTTTAGATATATAATTTTTCATTCAGTCCTTATTAATGAACATTTGGTATAATTTTTAAAATGTGAAAGAACAGGGGTGCCTGGGTGGCTCAGTTGGTTAAATGTCTGCTTTTGACTCAGGTCATGATCCCAGAGTCCTGGGATCGAGCCCCTGCATTGGGCTCCCTGCTCAGTGGGGAGCCTGCTTCTCCCTCTCCCTCTGCCCCTCCCGCTGCTTGGGCTCTCTCTCTCTCTCTCTCAAATAAATAAATAAATAAAACCTTGAAGTGTGAAAGAACAGAAAATGTAATGTTTTAATTTTTCTTTTCTCAAATTGATGTGTGATACATAGTTTAAGTGTACAAGTTAAATATTTAATTTTTGTTCGATGTTTTGTCTTCAGGTCTGCCAGCATCCAAACTCTCGAATGAGAGAATGGGGAGCAGAAGCTTTAACTTCACTTATTAAAGCAGGATTAACATTTAACCATGATCCTCCACTTTCACAAAACCAGGTTAAAAAAATTTCTTGTTTTTAAAAATAATTCTTAATATAAAATCATCACCTCCCATATGTAATTTTTTCTTAATTTATCAACTGGATGACATTCCAAGAATGGGTTTTGTTGCTTAATATTCTATTTTATATATAGGCCATGGATATCTTACAGAAGGTTGATATGTTTGGATTTTTAGGATTATCTTTATTAAAAATTATAGCAACTTTCTTGTGAATGACATGGAATTAAAGCTACTAAATTACCTAGAACTGGTCTCCCAGTGTGGAAGTTTCCCTGTTCATGCATTGCTGAAGCTTTATTTTGACACCCTACTTTATTAGCCTCCTTGCTTTGGTCCTTAACTGTCTCTAATTTTTTCTCTAATCATCCTTACATGGGGAGAAAACAAGTACTCGAAGAAACAAGTACAATAAAATAGATTTTTATTTTTAAATACTTTTAAAAGTTATTTTATTCTTCCAGAGTTTTTCAGCCCTTTGTCCTGACTTGTGTAATCATTCACCTGTATCTTATACAGTTTTTTTAAAATCCACCAAAGTTCTATTGTTTGAAGATTGAGTAGGAATGAGGTTTTTAATAGGCATTTCCTTGACTTCATTATCTTACTGTATTGTAATTATATTACTTATTGAGTACGTACGATGTGCCACTAGTGTATTAGCTCTTGGCATAGAATGGTAAACGAAACAAAAGATGTATGTTCTTACAGAGCTTACATTTTAGTGATTTCATACCTTTTCCTATTATAGTTTAAGTTTTTTGAAAAGAAAACCCTGATCCATATCCTTAACATTCAGCTTAATACCTGGCACATAGTGAGAGCTTAAATGTTTTTTTCAGTCAGCGAACCAAATAAGTGAGTCCTTGAAGAGAAAAAAGTTAAAAATGAAGCAAGTGCTTTCAGGTACTGAAAGGACCAGAACAGAGTACTTTTTTTTTTTTTTTTTTACTCTAATGGATTCCAGTAGTTTTATGCCATCTTTGTTAATGTCTACCATACTTAATTTTTAGGAGTATTAAGAATTTTAAATTTAAGTCCATGTGATATACATTAACAGAGTAAATGAAAGGTGATTTTAGAAATTGGAAATTATTTTCCTCTCTCCAAATATAGCTAGGTATAAATAGATATATTTCCTTTAGTGAGATTCATTTCATATGGGTCTTTAATTAGTGTCTTTTTTAAAAAAAAAGTTTTTAATTATTTTTAGTTTGGGGTCTTTAATTAGTGTCTTTTAATACAGGATCACTCTCCATTTAATCCAAAATCTAACATGTTGAGGATTGGTTTTTATTTTCTCTTATTTTAATAAAAGAGGACAAAATAAACCTCTGGTGATAACAGAGAATCATATTCAGTGTTTGTTTTAGTAGAAAAGTTTCTAGTTACTATTATGGTCTGAATGGAGGTGAATGTAAATTTAAAAAGCAGCTGTACATAACATAATAAAATGAAATAAAATTAAAAAAAAAAAAACAGCTCTAAATCCTTCCTGTCTTTTTGAGCCTCTCTTCCTAATTAGTTTCCTGCCCTCTTTTCAGAGGCTGCAGTTGCTTTTATTGAACCCATTAAAGGAGATGTCCAGTATTAACCATCCAGATATCCGACTCAAGCAATTAGAATGTGTGCTGCAGATTCTTCAGAGTCAGGGAGACAGTCTTGGACCTGGATGGCCATTAGTGCTTGGAGTCATGGGAGCAATCAGAAATGATCAAGGGTAAGTGTTTAAAATTAACATCCAAAAAGTAATGAAGAGGTTGGTCCTAAAATCTTGCAGAAGTGGTAATTTTTTATGTATGCCCTTCCTGGCTCAGATCTAGAATTGTTTTTCTTAATCCTACCCCCAGTGACTATAGTGAATTATCAGGGCTCACCTTTGTTTTGGAAGGATAGAAAAATTGCTGTTTACTTGACATTTGACATTTTTACAAGAATATAAGGTTTATAGGGTAAATGCGGCAAGCTAACAAATTTTGTAACACATCCAAAGATTGGGTTTTGTATTATAAAATTAGCATTGGTAAGATGTGAATTAACACTTAGGACTTAACTTCTCTGCATATATTGGGAAATCTAAGAAATTGCTTTTAAGGGACTTTTTAAAAAAAATTTTATTTTATTATGTTATGTTAATCACCACACATTACATCATTAGTTTTTGATGTAGTGTTCCATGATTCATTGTTTGCATATAACACCCAGTGCTCCATTCAATACGTGCCCTCTTTAATATACCCATCACTAGGCCAGCCCATCCCCCCGCCCCCCTCCCCTCCAGAACTCTCAGTTTGTTTCTTAGAGTCCATAATCTCTCGTGGTTCATTCGTCTCCCCCTCCGATTTCCTCCCCTTCATTTTTCCCTTCCTACTATCTTCTTCTTCTTTTTTTAACATATAATGAATTATTTGTTTCAGAGGTACAGGTCTGTGATTCATCAGTCTTACACAATTCATAGCGCTCACCATAGCACATACCCTCCCCAGTGTCTATCACCCAGCCACCCCATCCCTCCCACCCCCCACCACTCCAGCAACATATTGTTCATTTATTTTGTGCCAGTATATTCTAAGTACTATGCTTGCTAGTTACTCTGATTACACAGATAAATAGCTCTTGCTCTAAAAGTAGAATCTTAGGGAAAAGGAACAAGCTCTGTAAGTAGAATCCTAATGAGAATAGTCTGTTAGGCCGCAGAAGGATAGGATTCCAGTGGTAGGGGCCTGTGTCCCTGGAGGAGGGCAGAGTCAAAATTATGAAGGACCTTATAAACTATTTGGATTTGTCTTCAATACATTTGAGAGGCATTTTAGGAGTTTTAAGCAGAGGAACAGTGTGATCTGATGTGCATTTGAGATCTATCACTGTGACAGCACTGTGTAGGGGTGGATGGGAAATGAGAGAACCTGCAGTGTTCTCTAGAAATACAGAGGAAGAGTGATGGATTTGAGCTACTTAGCAGATTGATTATGGGAGTGAAGGGTGATAAAGGAAATAGAATAAGGAATGACTTCCAGATTTCTAACTTAGGCAGCTTTAATGAATGGTGGTATTATTAACTAAGTAAATACTGAAGGAAGAGCAAAATAGACTTATTTAACTTAAGGTAGAACATTGCAGTGGAGAGGTCTATCAAATGTTTGCATCTATTTGTCTCATTCTGCAGCAGAACTCATACTATCTGGTATGATGACTAGTTGAGGAATTTTATATGATTGAGATGCTTGGGACTATTATGGAAAATTATTTTTTCTTATTTGTGGTAATAAATTTTCTTAAATACTACAAAGTACTGAGATGATTAAAGTGGAAAGAGACCAGCCATAGCTTAAATCAACCTTAAGTTTCTTATCCCAGTCTACAATGCAGTTCTAAAATAGGGCATCGTTGTAGGATGAAATTAGTTAGTACATGTAAAACACTTAGGAAGTGCATTACATAGCAAACATTCAATAAGTTTTAGCAATTGGGGTGCCTGGGTGGCTTGGTCAGTTGGGCATCTGACTCTTGATTTCTGCTTTGGTTTTGGTTGTGGTCTTGGGGCTGTGAGATCAAGCCTTGCATCAGCATGGAATCTGCTTGTCCTCCCTCCCCTTGCTTGTGTGCTCTCTCTCTCTTTTTCTCTCTCTCTAAAATAAAATCTTTAAGAAAAAATAAGCGTTAGCTATTATAATTCACTTTCATTATTGTTTCACCACTGGAATTTCTCTCTAAAATCAGTTACTTCTTATTCTCTTCATTTGAAATTCAAAATGTACTCTTTTCTTTTACAGACTAGATGTAGAATTTTAAATAAGATATAGATATAAAAGAATGAGGAACTAATTTTCATTCAGTGAGTAAATTGTGTGTATTTGCATGTGCTAGGCACCATGCTAGATATTGGGGATATGGTGGTGAGAAAGTAGCTGTAGCCAATTTCCTTTTCTCATTAATGTCTGTTTTGTTTGACTAGTTGATACAAAATTCTTTATTTATTAATTTGTTCGAGTATGTCTTTATCTTTTACATTTATGTAAATATTGAAATACTGTATGACCTGTATTAGGGAAGATTTTCTTGTTCAATTTTTAAAATAGAATTTAACTTGGTTAAAATTATTGTAAGGTGTGTCTTTTTACTTACATTTCTTTTAAGTGCATGAGTATAATTTTTTTCAGAGAATCCTTGATACGAACTGCATTCCAGTGTCTTCAGTTGGTCGTGACAGATTTTCTACCAACAATGCCTTGTACGTGCCTGCAGATTGTTGTAGATGTTGCAGGTAGCTTTGGACTTCATAACCAAGAACTTAATATTAGTTTGACTTCAATAGGTTTATTGGTAAGTATTATTGTCTTTCTTGTGATCATATGATTTAGAAATCACTGTTATGCTGCTGAGAGTGAATGCTAGGAGAATAGGCTTTTGGCTTTAGAGGGGTTGTTTAAATGACTTTTAAGTACTAAACTTCTATTTTACATGAAGGGTTAAATGACATACTTTAAGAATTACTTCATTAATAGCAGAATATTTGGAATAATTTTGATATATTGAGCTGAAATTTAGCTTTTAAAGGTTTGTCATGAGAGGATTTAGTAAACAAGTAGTAGTACATACAAGGGAAGTATTCAGTTGATGCTAGTGTAAAGATTAACGGATTTTTAACATTGTTTCAGTAGCAACATTTCCATATATTACTTATTTAGTAAATAAAGCTCCAGTAAAAGGCTTTACTGTATACACAGGGCTTTGCTATATACGCAGTCCTATAGTTTGTCAGCACTGCTTTATTAGCTATTAGAAGGCATATGTTAATGGAAGAGCTTTTACTATGGAAAAGATATACTTGCATTTTAATTCTGTGTGCCTCTTGTTAATTGTTTAATTATTGACATCTTGATCCACATTTTACTCATTTTGAATGTAGAAAGAAGTAAAATCTAAGTTAGGATATTATTAATATTACATAAGTAAACAAATAGAAAGCTGTTCCCAATATGAATGTATTTAAAGGCAATTATTTAGACTCTTAAATGTTTATTATAAGCTAGAAGTTTTTGAAGTCAAACTTAAATATCCCTTACAAGCTGGATAACTATTAAAAATATAATTATAGGAAAGAAAATAAGCACGTGTATAGAATTGTTCCCAAAGAGTAGTTAATTCAGTGTTGATTAAATTACTGCTAGGTGTCACCTCCTTTATATTTATGTTCATAGGATTCTCTACATTTTTATAATTGGCATAATTCTCATTAATTCATTCACCACATACTGTGGTTGAGAATGAAGTCATAAGATATATTTGGATATAGTAATTATTCTTATGAAATTATAAAATATCATTAAATGATATTAAGGAATCGTTAATAATTTTTGTGGTGTCATAATGGTATCATGGTTATTTTTTTAAAGCCTTTATCTAGGGGAATTATAAAATTTAGGCACGAAGTAAATACCACAGAATGTTAACAGTTGGCTTTCTGTGTATCAATATATTGATACCATTTTCCCTGTTTTTCTGTATGTTCTTGAAATGTTTCATAATAAAAATGTTTGAAAATATTCATGTTAGCACATGATTGTTTCCCCAAATTCTCCTGAAATCAGATGGAGACATGTGACAGAGATGTTTTCAAATCTGTTCTACTAGAAAAGAAATTACTGAAGTGGCTATTAAAAGTTTTATTCTGAAAGGTAAAGCAACCATGTGTTGCGTATTTATGTGTTTGAGATAAAATCTGAGTGAAATGGCATTTTTCTACTTTGCTTTTTAGTGGAATATTTCAGATTATTTTTTCCAAAGAGGAGAAACTATTGAAAAAGAATTAAATAAAGAAGAGGCAGCACAGCAAAAGCAGGCAGAAGAGAAAGGAGTTGTTTTAAATCGGCCTTTCCATCCTGCACCACCTTTTGATTGCTTGTGGTTGTGTCTTTATGCAAAATTGGGTGAACTCTGTGTGGACCCCCGTCCTGCTGTGAGGAAGAGTGCAGGACAAACTCTGTTTTCAACAATTGGTGCACATGGAACTTTATTACAGCACTCAACGTGGCACACTGTTATTTGGAAGGTATTGTAGATTAGATTGAGTTACTAGCTTTTGAGACAAATTTCTAAATTTTTCAAATTATCTAGTTCCTATTAATTTTTGAAGAATTTCCATGCATTTGTGCTTTTGACAAAACGTAATGTTAGTTTTGTCATACTTTAAGTTGTACCTCACAGAATAAATTACATATTGAAAGCCTATTCTCTCTTTTTCTGTCTTCATCTCTTATTATCTCTGTCTCTGATTTCTGCCTTTGCCTTTCCCTTTTTTCTTCCTGTTTCCCCAAAACCACATAATTCAAATGTAACCAACTGAGAATTTTATAAATAAAAGAATATCAACAATAGCGAAATATACTTGCAGGATCGCCAAATAGAAGTAACCTCTAATTGGTCAATTCTATATATTTGTTCATTAAATATACAGTTTCATTTTTTTCTTTTTTTTTTCTTTGTTTTTTAATATTTTATTTTTAAGTAATCTCTACACCCAACGTGGGGCTCAAACTCAAAATCCAGAGACCAAAAGTCACTTGCTGTACTGACTGAGCTAGCCAGGCACCCCTTTATTTTTCTTTTTCATCCCGTTTTTAAAAACTTTCTACGGGGTACCTGGGTGGCTCCGTTGGGCATCCAGCTCTTGATTTTGGCTCAGGTCATGATCTCATGGTTGTGAGATCGGGCCCTGCATCGGGGACTCTGTACTCAGCATAGAGTTTGCTTGGGATTCTCTCCCTCCCTCTCCTTCTGCCCCTCCCCCCGCTTATGTGCAGGTGCACTCTCTCTCTCTCAAAACAAATAAATATTTTTTAAAAACTTTAAAAACTTTCTACAAAGCCAACAGCTTATTAGTGAGCATCCCCTCTTTGCTGAAAGCTCTCCTTTTTTGTTCCATCTATTCTATTTTAATAAAAATCTATTTATCATTTCACCACTTTTGTGAATTTCTGAGGTCAGTAAGTTTGACAATAGGCTGCATAATAGATCTTAATTGTATTTAACAATTTGTCTTCAATTTAATAAAAATATTCCAAAATGTCTTCTTAAAAAATTAATAATGCATATCCACTAATAAAAATAATTAAAATTCCCTCTCCGTCCTGTGTGTTCTGTTTCAACTCCATCCACTGGCTCCTCCTCTTCAGATCACAAACATGCTTAAGCCTCCCTTACTATTTTAAAAAACAAACTGATATTTTCTCTGATTCCTATTTTCCTTTTAAACAGCTTTTTAATCTTGCTGCCTAATTGTCAGTGATTTTTTTTCTTTCCTCTCCTCCCCTGCATTCTCCTGACCCTTTAATATGATTTCCAGATTATTCTACTTCAGAGTTTCTTAAACCTTAAGGTAACAGAATTACCTAGAAGACTTAGCCACCAGCCCTTGCCTCCCAGAATTTCTGATTTTTCTGGCTTGGGGCTTGAGAATTTGCATGTCTATGAATTTCCTGCATGATGCTAATGCTGTTGGTTCTGAGACCATATTTTGAGAACCACAGAAATTGTTCATAGGCTACAGGTGGTCTTCTGATTGCCAAGATTTGCACCCTAAATTCAGTTCTTATCTTACTCATTTTTATTTTTTTGTAGCATTTAATGCTGTTGATTATTTTCTCCTTGAAATTTCTCCTCCCTTGGATTCTGTTTCACAGAATGCTTCTGCTTCTCTTTCCAATTTTTAAAAAATTTTTTTCTTCAATTCCCTCCCCTGAATCTACTCTTCAAACATTCTTCAAGTCCCAAACACTTGCTGCTTGATTTTTTCTTCCTTCTTCTTTTTAATGTAGTCTCCACGCCCAATGTGGGGCTTGAACTCATGATCCTGAGTTCAAGAGTCATGTGCTCTAGCGACTGAACCAGCCAGGCGTCCCGTTGCTTGATTTTTTTCAAGCACCTTCATCTAGTCCTGAGCTTTCAGTTATAACCTCTCCACAGATGTCTTCCATAATTACATTTTTTGCCTGGACTTCTTAGCTTCATTCCCTTCTTGTATATTACCCCATAGATGCTCTATTGATACCCCAACTCAACAAGTCCTAGAAATATTCTATACAATTTAAAAGTTTTTCATATTCCGGAATGCCTTGGTGGCTCAGTGGGTTAAGCATCTACCTTCGGCTCAGGTCACAATCCCAGAGTCCTGGGATCAAGTCCTGCATTGGGCTCCTGGCTTGGCGGGGAGCCTGCTTCTCCCTCTGCCTGCCGCTCCCCTGCTTCTGTGCTTGCTCGCTCTCTGCCAAATAAATAAATAAAATCTTAAAAATTTTTTTTTCATATTCTATGACTTTAAGGATAATATCTTTACTGTTAAATTTTTTCTGATATACGGGATTGATCTGTCAGGTATAATTTCTTGTGACAGTTTCTAACTGCTGTGCTGTTACTTAAGCTATGTTATTTTTATGTGCGTTTTTATAAATATTCAGGTTCTCTTTCATCTACTGGACCGAGTTCGGGAGTCTTCTACTACTGCAGACAAAGAAAAGATTGAGTCTGGAGGTGGCAATATTCTCATTCATCATTCAAGGGACACAGCAGAGAAGCAGTGGGCAGAGACCTGGGTTTTAACATTGGCCGGAGTAGCAAGAATCTTTAACACTAGAAGATATTTACTGCAACCTTTAGGTATATATACATTTCCCCCCCAAGTTACATAAGTAATTCATGTTAAAGGAAATTTGGAAAATACAAAAGATCTTTAAAAACTTTATGTACAGTGCTACTTTCCAAGAATAATCCGTCTTAACTGCCAGTCTTCGTTGATGTGTGGTGTGTGCATGAGCATACACATTTTCGTTCATTTCATTGAGAAAATACATAATGTACCTCCTATGGGCTAGCCTCTAGGGGATACAGTGGTGAGTAAAACACACAGCATCCTTGTTATCATGGGCCTGAGGGAATAACTATAATTACATAAATACAAAATTACTACAGTGATAAATGGTACAAAGGAGTGGTGCTTTGTAAGCTTATAATACGTAATTGACCCGGCCTATGAGATCCAGGTAGGCTTCTCTAAGAAAGCAGTATTTTTGCTGAGATCTGAAGGGTGAGTAGTAGTTCGTCAGGCAACGGTAAGCAAAATGTGAGGAGGTTTACAGGCAGAAAGAAGTGTACATGTCAATAGTACTGAGATTAAGAAACCTAGTGTAGATTGTACCTTCAGTTCTGATGGTAGTGATGGTGGTGGTAGAGAAAAATGAACTGAACAGAAATACTTTTTTACATAATTATGAGAATGTCGTACATAGTCTTGCATTTTTACAAGTTACTATTTTACATTTGGCTTTTTTGTCCCTGTTTATGTTAAAGTGTAAGCATATTTATCCTTTCCATCAGCATTTTTGTGTAGTGTTCATGCATTTTTCCTTTTTTTCCCCAAAAATAATCTGTAGTGTCTGATCCATTTTGCACTCCTAGAGCTTAATATATGATATATATGTAAAAATCCTAGTTTTTAATTTTCATGTAAAATTTACATAAAATGAAATGTACCAGTCTTAACTGTACATTTGCTGAGTTTGACAAAATAAGCATCATTTTTAATACTTCCATGATAGTTACCTTATTTGAAAAGCTAAAACCTAATAAAGATCTAGTTTTTTAAAAATGAAGACACAAGGCGGTTTGTGTAGCTTTGATAATTTTTTTATAATTCGAAGATTAGAAAATGCTTATTATCTTAGAATAATGTTCATATTTTTAACATGACCATGTACAGTATATAATTATACCTGGTCTTTTAGAAAGAGGACTTTTTTCTAGACATAGAGTTACATTAATAGAGGAATTGCAGGGTTTTTCCTCCTATGGTATGAAATATTCTGAGATTATTCTGGTTGGTAAATGTATGTTTCATCTGACTTTTGAACTAGGATGGCAAGAGACAGAAGTGTTTTGTTTAGCTGTTCTGATAGTTTTTAAATGTAATATGTCAAAACTCTTTGAACAGTTTACTAAAATAAAAAAATCTGTGTTTTCAATTGTTTGTAAATTATACCTCACTTTTTAATAAAAGAAAGAGTGGAGAGGAAGAGGCATGTAACTGGCCAGGTATTATTTTTTTTGTCCTATATAGGCAGAGTAGTACTTATTGTTTCATACCAGGACTACTTCCAGTTTTCCTACTAACTGAATGCTTCCTTAGGCATATGGGTTTATCTCTTTTTAAAAATTTAGTCATTTAGAGCCTTTGGGAAGTGACTTTAAACCTTATTATGTAAGTATTTTATAGCCTACGTATGTCATCCTGCTTTGGAAAATATCAATTCTTCTGATTTTGGTGTTATTTAAATGCAAGTATGTGGGGTGCCTGGGTGGCTCAGTCAGTTAAGCATCTGCCTTCAGTTCAGGTCATGATCCTGGGGTCCTGGGATTGAGCCCCTCGTTGGGCACCCTGCTCAGTGGGGAGTCTGCTTCTCCCTCTCCCTCTAACCCTCCTCCCTGCTCATGCTCTTGCTTGCTCTCCCTCTCTCTCTCTTAAATGAATAAATTAAAAAACCTTAGAAGAAAAAAGTAAGTGCAAATATGTGGGTAATAATCCATGGTATTAAAGCCATTAGGCTAGATTGCTGGAGGAATAAGGTCATTTTAGCTGGGCTTCATAGAAACAAACTACATGTTGCTATAAAGAGCTTCAGTATAAATGTGCTTAATTGGTCATAGGAGTAGAACAAGAGATTGGATTGACCAGTGGAAACTAACAACTGCCATTTAGCCCGTGCTCTGCTGATGGTGGATCAGCAGACTCAGTTTCATATGAGAGGAAGAAATGTAGACTCATTCTAAAAAGGCAGTCTGTTCTTTATGGTACATTTTCTCCTGGTGACTCCTTGTAATTGGGAAAAAAATGTTTAAGAAAATTCTGCAACAACAACAACAAAAGAAAATTCTGCCACTATAAGTTATGTAAATATGAAAACCAAAGTGTAAAGTTAAGATTTTATGAGCATAGCATAGTTTACTTTAAACATTTAGACCTATAAAAAACACGTATTATTCAGTTATAAGTTGTTAACTTTTCCAATACTTTTAAGAATGAGAACATCTTATTTTTAATCATTAATAAAGATGGATAGATCAAAGTTGTAAAAAGCTTTTGTTTTTACCCTCTTAAGTTTTTATTCCATTCTCTTTAGGCAGAAATACCAGGAAATAGTGTAAACATGTGTACATACATTTATAGAGTTCTGTTTTTAAGACCAAAACATTGATATATTCATTATCCTCTTCTTGGTGCCCTTTATTCATGTATTTGAAAAAAATTTTTTACTGGAGTTTTGGGTTTCATTGATTTTAACTCACATTGTTTGTACCTTAACACCTAAGCATATTTTCCTAGTTATATAGGAATTTAAGTAGTAAAATAAAGCAAACATTCCAAAGTGTGCAGTAGTAAGAGAAATCTTGACTACTTTGATAGATTTTGTTTTTCTCTTCCTAATACAGGAGATTTTTCAAGAGCATGGGATGTTCTTCTTGACCATATACAGTCAGCAGCACTCAGCAAAAACAACGAAGTATCTCTGGCTGCACTGAAAAGCTTCCAGGAAATTTTACAGATTGTGTCCCCCATCAGAGACTCAGATAAGCCCGAGACACCACCTGTAGTTAATGTACCTGTGCCTGTCCTTATAGGGTCCATATCAGGCCCTGGCCTGAGCAGGCCATTTGTAAGAACAGATTCCGTTGGAGAGAGACTTGGAAGATATAGTAGCTCTGAGCCACCCATAGTTACCGATGAACTTGAAGATTTGAATCTCTGGTGGGCTGCCTGGAATACCTGGTATAGAATCGGATCGGAAAGCACTAAGCCTCCTGTTACTTTTGACAAACTGACTTTCATTCCCAGCCAGCCTTTCCTTACAGCTTTAATTCAGATATTTCCAGCTCTCTATCAACACATAAAAACTGGTTTCAACATGGATGACTTGCAAAAGCTGGGAGTCATATTGCATAGTGCTGTGTCAGTCCCAATAAGTTCAGATGCATCCCCTTTCATTCTTCCATCTTATACTGAAGCAGTTTTGACAAGTTTACAGGAAGCTGTGCTTACAGCTTTAGACGTTCTCCAAAAGGTAATAGAATTTTAGTGGCTCTCTAAGCAATAATGCATGTGGTTCGCTGGAAGTTTTTTAGTTTGCTGTATATTTTTTGAGATAAATTCGGGATCATCAGGATTGTTGAATATATATACTTTGTGTAAACTCAGTATTGTAAACATCCAGTTATTTAAAAAACATACGGTTTTCTGATGTATTTGAAAAGGTGATTCAGGTTTGTTTTGAGAGTCTTTCAGAAACTGTCTGTATCCTCTTGTTTCCTTTCACCAGCATTTTTGGTTTGCTCATGCAGCTCTTTACAAGAGATAAACTTTTCTGAATGACAACTTTAGTAAAGTACTTCTATAATTAGAAAATTAATAAGCTATGGGATCATATATATACATATATATTCATTGTACTTAAATTTAGCTCTGGAATTGTTAGAAGCCTAAATTTTAAAAAAAGAAGTAAGAATAAATTTATAAAGTGTTTTCCTCACAGAAATTTTAAAAAGAGATACATCTTTTTTTAAATTTTATTTTATTACGTTATGTTAATCACCATACATTACATCATTAGTTTTTGATGCAGTGTTCCATGATTCACTGTTTGCATATAACACCCAGTGCTCCATTCAGTACATGCCCTCTTTAATACCCATCACCAGGCTAACCCATCCCCCCACCCCCCTCCCCTCTAGAACCCTCAGTTTGTTTCTCAGAGTCCGTAGTCTCTCATGGTTCGTCTCCCCCTCCTGACTCCCCCCCGCTTCGTTTTTCCCTTCCTACTATCTTTTTTTTTTTTTTTTAACATATAATGTATTATTTGTTTCAGGGGTACAGATCTGTGATTCAACAGTCTTGCACAATTCACAGCACTCACCATAGCACATACCCTCCCCAATGTCTATCATCCAGTCACCCCATCCCTCCCAACCCCCCACCACTCCAGCAACCCTGTTTGTTTCCTGAGATTAAGAATTCCTCATATCAGTGAGATCATATGATACATGTCTTTCTCTGATTGACTTATTTCACTTAGCATAATACCCTCTAGTTCCATCCACGTGGTGGCAAATGGCAAGATTTCATATTTTTTGATGGTTGCGTAATATTCCATTGTGTGTGTGTATGTGTGTGTGTACACACACACATACACATCTTTATCCATTCATCTGTTGATGGACATCTTGGCTCTTTCCATAGTTTGGCTATTGTGGACATTGCTGCTATAAACATCGGGTGCACGTACCCTTTCAGATCCCTACTTTTGTATCTTTGGGGTAAATACCCAGTAGTGCAATTGCTGGATCATATGGTAGCTCTACTTTCAACTTTTTGAGGAACCTCCATACTGGTTTCCAGAGTGGCTGCACCAGCTTGCATTCCCACCAACAGTGTAGGAGGGTTCCCCTTTCTCCGCATCCCTGCCAACATCTGTCGTTTCCTGACTTGTTAATTTTAGCCATTCTGACTGGCATGAGGTGGTATCTCATTGATGTTTTGATTTGGATTTCCCTGATGCCGAGCGATGTTGAGCACTTTTTCATGTGTCTGTTGGCCATTTGGATGTCTTCTTTGGAAAAATGTCTGTCCATGTCTTCTGCCCATTTCTTGATTGGATTATTTGTTCTTTGGGTGTTGAGTTTGATAAGTAAAAAGAGATATATCTTACCTAGTGTGTTTTGTTACTGTGAAAAAGTTATTAAGGAGGGCATGCGATGTAATGAGCACAGGTTATTATATAAGATTGATAAATCACTGACCTCTACCTCTGAAACCAATAATACATTATATGTTAATTAATTGAATTTAAATAAAAAATTAAAAACCAAACAGCAAAAATAATAAATTAAAAAAACTAAAAATAAACAGACCTAAAAATCATTGAGTAAATCCCAGTTAGCAGGCAAGACCAAATCAAAATCAAAGAATTCTTTAAACTATCGAGATAATTGTTAGCACAGTTCACAACAACCATAATGCTAAGCAGAAAAATGCCAACCGAGGAGCCAGCAATTACAGCAAAGTTGCTATGACATTCTAACAAAATTAAAATGGAACTAGATTCTGATTACACATGTGTTAATCACATTTGTGTACTGCAAATCATGTTTTCTAATTAACTGATTGCATTATATCCAGCTGGAGTGATGAAAACTTTCACAAGTAAAAGTAGTGGTTTCTGTTACACCATAATAACTCTTCATTGGCTCTGGAGGAAGTCCAGCTGAGTAGTAATTCCTTGATCTCTTTAACCCTAGATACATTGTGTAGAGAAACAAATTGTGTAGAAACTTAAAATTTAAGAGAATCTGATATTTAAGAAACTTTATTGTAGGGATATCAGCTTTCAACAATTGAAATCAAAATAGCTATTTTTATTTTCAGTGGAGAAAAGAAGTAGCCTGTCACTACCTATTTTTTACCCCTTGATTGACCATGCACATAGGTTGCTTATGGAGTGGCCTGGAGGAAATTGAAAAGTTATTCTGTCAGAAAAGCAAAGCAAAGCACAGGCCTTATGGGATGTCCATAATCTAGAACTCTCATTCAGATGTTCGATTCATGTTTTTATAAACCCAAACCTTCAAAATTTTTTTCAAGAAAAAAAAGCACATAATGTTATTTTTAAAAACTCTGCTTTAACAATGACAGAACAAACAGAATCATTTATTCCAACTACTAGGAATTTGTTCTGAGCTTTTACTGGCTTTGAAAACAATATGTACATACCTTCAATCTGAAACCTAGGAAGCTTTATTGCTGTTCATTTATATCAGTGGGTATCATTTTGCGTTACTAATTTTCACTCTAGCTGTTCTTTATTACTTATGTGATTATCTAAATGATATTTCATAGTACTTGAGTATGAGTCAAGCATATGGTGTCTTTAATATTTCCTAATAGAAAAAATTAAACACAGTAAAAGTGTTTGTATATTTTCTCCCACAGGTGTCAGAAAAGTTTTTTACAGCACAATTTACTTACTTTGGGACTTGATCCTTAAATTAATAAGCTATCCAATGAAACATTTTATTGATTAAAGATCATTTCCTACATAAAACCTCATTTTTGATTTCATGTTTACAATTATATAGGTTAGGGCTTCAGGGTCACAGTCTTCTCTTGGTTCTTAAATCACTCATTCCCACCAAATTGACCTAGTTATATATGCTAATTGATTTTTTTTGGCCAAGATATTTTTGGCATGTGTTGGACCTGAGAATTTGATTATCTGTTTTCCCTAAGTTCTGAGATCAGGAGACTGCATCTGTCTTATTTATTACTAAACTTCCTAAAGTCAGATGGCTGGATATTGTATCTGCCTCCATCATCAAGGCGGCTAGAGTAGTACTCCAGGAAACATCATCACATTGTGTGTGGATGGTGCCCTTGGAGTTGTGCAATGAAGCCCTGCCTGCTAGTCAATGGGGCAAGTTTTGGAATCTCTTTATATATCAGCTTCTTAATCTATTAATCTATAAAATAAAAATAATAGATCTTCACCTATTATTAAATGGGGTTTGTAAGGCATTTGCCTGGCACAGTTAAACTAAATGTTAGCTGTTACTGTCTTCATCATCAAGTTCCCTGTCAAACATCTTAGTATATGAGGGGAGAGGGCAAAAAAAGTCTTAGTAGATATAGGTACTGAAGGAATTATTGTTGAAGGACTTAAGAGAAACCTTGAACCATGTCAGAGGTTGGATGTCCATTTTCTGTTCTTGTTTTCACATGTAGTTTTCAAACTGGAATAATAGGAAATGTCTAGATAGCTGACTGATTCTTAACTTTTGGAGTAAAATCTGTTATCAGGTTCATACTATAGTTTTTTTCTGATACACAAACTTAAGAATATTGAAGAAAAACCAATAATAACTTTTTCTTAGATGGAGTTTGTTTAAAAAAAATGTCAGTTCCACATTATGCATTTTAAGATCTCAGAATTACTTATTAAGTCAACTATAATGCTACAGTATATTTTCTTTTTATAAAGGACCACTGAAAATCAAAATGTGTAGTCACAGTCATTATTTGGTGCTAAGATATTTCCAGAGAAATGGTAATACTTAGTTTTCTAAGGTAACCACACGGGCTTTTTCTCTTTTTTAGTCATTGAAAAATTAAGAATCCACTTGGTATAATTATTTCTTTTCCACAGTAATTACTGCTTGTTTACTTCTAAGAGTTACGACTCAGCAAGAGATTAGTAAAGAAGAAAGTGAAATTTACAGAATCAGTCAGTAGAGTGAATTTTTTTAGGCATTCAAGTTCTCCATTTACTGTTACTGAGAAAAATAACCAAATATTGAGAGATAGTATTAGATATTTTATTCTACTTTTTTACATTGTAATTATAAGATGATCTAACTTAGATATGGCAGCACTTTGCTTATCTGTCTTTCAAGACTTTTATTTAAAACTTAAGTCATAACCATAAATGGTTACATCTTCCCTCAGGGAAAATAAAATTAATATATTATCTGACAGGTTTAAAAAGCCATGGATTGCAGAAAAACATAAATGTGTGCATCTTTTTAAAGAATATTCCTTAAATTTTTGAAATGCTTTGAATTTTGATTTAGTACTTTGAGGGTACCTCAAGCGCAGAATGACCATGCTTTTTGTTTTGTAAAGCACAAATTTATTTTATACATTATGTAAATAATATCATTAAATATTTTTCCCACAGAGAAAAAGAAACACTAAAATATGTGAAAGGACAAGAGGAGAAAACACATTTGTGGCTAGAAAAAATGAAAATATAAGATTTATTTTAAGTACTTTCAACATACCTGAAGGAATTAAAATCTGCAGTGTCAGGATATGCACTTTACTCTTTATCAAATTGTTTGTAGCAATAGGTTTAGTTTCTATTAATTTTTTAAAATTTTCTTGTTTTAAATCAAGTCTATATATTCAGATACATTAGACATTAAATATACACTGCCCTGTTAAAAAATTAACATATACATTTCTTTTAGAAACAGATTTTCATCCATGGCTTATTTCCCCCAACTATAATACACATGATTATTTGTGAAAGTCAGAAGACTAGGCATAGTGCAGAAATCAGCTGTCATTTCAATGAACTGATACTATCACTTAAATAGAAGTCACTATCAGTCAATATAATCTTGGTCAGTGAAGCGTTCTTGATGGTCTAATGGCTGTAATCCTGAACCAATGATCCAATCATGGAACCTCAAGACTGCCTGGGGCTCCACTCCAAGTGCTTGCCCTTTTTCCAGTCTGTTAAGTCATAAATCACACTTTCTATTAAAAAACATTTTGTAGCTCATTAACACATTTGGCTTATACTTTATTCAATAATAGTTTAAAATAGCTTGTAATAGCTATGTCCTTCAGGACTTATAAAAGATTGTGTAATACTTACATAAAATAGGACAGTTTTTAAGATTCTTTGGTTAAATGCATATACAGTGAAGAACTTAACTGGAGTTCAGGTTATGCATTCTGCTGTTCATATTTTGCTTTTATAGGCCATCTGCGTGGGGCCAGAAAACATGCAGATAATGTATCCAGCTATATTTGACCAGTTACTGGCATTTGTGGAATTTTCCTGTAAACCTCCACAGTATGGACAGCTAGAAACCAAGCACATTGCAAATGCAAAATATAATCAGGTAATTTCATTTAAATTGTATTTTCTCTGGAAGATTTCATGGCTTATAAACAGTTCCACATAAGATGGAAATTTTTCATTCACAAATAAACTTTCATATGTCTGTTAACAGTTTAAACTCAAAACACTATTTGGAAAATCTTTTCTGTATTCCTTTTTTTCTTGTTTATGACTTTCCTTTCCCAAGTAGTTCTCCAGAAAGTTTGGCCTTTCATGTTACGTTTTTCTTCAAAGTTCCTTTCTTCACTGCCCCATCCCATTACAAGATGGCTTCTAAATCCCTAAGCCTAATCTTGTCTAAAATAAATGCCTGCCATGCAAGGTGAAGACACCTGTGTGTACTAAATAAGTTGTCTATTGCTGGTGTGAAATTTAGTTGGATTTCACCTAAAAGATTTTTATAGCCATCATTGGCAAATTTTGGCTTAGGGGAAAAGTAAATTTCTGAATGCATGCACAGGCTGATTTTGTTCACTCAACATTAAAATAAAATTTTACATGGTCCGAAAAGTAGTTTTAATGTGTATTAACTTTTCTCATTCTATTTGTCTTGCAACACAATGGAATCACAATAGATCCAACTATTTGCACCGGTGAGTTAAATTTCCTAAAATTGTCCTAACCTATTGGCAACAAGTAAAGTACATCTTTCCCATTTCTTGGTAGAATGCTCTCTGTGCTTTTTCTGATAGTTTTAATTTTTGCCTGGCTGCAAATTGTTCTTTCATGAAGTACGTATCTGTTTGAAAACTTTGCATGTAATATAATCTGACCTAAAACCAAGGACTGAACTTTAAGACAAAGAAGGTTTCCCTTTGAAAACAATATAATTTAATCTAATCTCATGTATTTTTAACTCCATGTGAAAATATTACTTTTTAGGCGGAATGGGTAGCCTTGAATTATGTACCATTTGCTGAAAGGTCTTTAGAAGTAGTTGTGGATTTATACCAAAAAACAGCCTGTCACAAAGCAGTCGTGAATGAGAAGGTACTCCAGAATATTATTAAGGTATCTTTTTCTTTTTAATTTCTATTCTTTGATGATGACACTATTACTGAAATTACTTTTTAGGTAATAATATATTATCATATATTGAGATAAATGGAAAATATTTATATTATTATTTATAGGGACTTTTCTCCAACATTCATGGATAGTATTTAGGAAGCCAGTCCCAGTATGAAAAGTTTTTTTTTTTAACGAAAAATATTTTAAAGTAAGTATGCATTAGGTTTTTTACAATTCTTAAGTTATGCCACAAGTCAATGAAGGATCCTGTTTCTTAGGACAGTAACTTCTCATACTTCAAGGTTGATGAGCATTCAGGGAGAAATGCACAGCACATCAATTTAACTGATATGTATTTTTTTTTTAAGTCAGTTCCTTAGTGTACGGACAACCATTTTTAAAACTCATCTCTTGTTGATTCTGTCTGATTCCTCCGAAGTGTATTTCTTGTTTTTTCCTGTGTTTTGAAGGGCAAACCTGAACCTTGCCTTCTATTTACTGAACAAATATAGGCCAATATGAACCATCTTTCCTCAAGGAAGATGGCCATTCTCGTTCCAAAGCTCATCCTGCTCTTTTGTTTCCCTCCTTTTCTCTTTCCCTCTTTCTTTGTTGGTGATTCTTTCATTTTCCTTTTAGCCTTGTAAACAGTATCTTGGAAAGATGATAAAGCCCTTTATTTAAGAACTTTCTCTCACTTTGCTTCCTACTCAAATGGCCATCCTCTTTCAGCTTTCCTTTTTTTCCAGATTCCTTTACTTTAAACAGCTTGTGTCCTTCACATAGCTGCAGCTCACTCTCAATCCACTGCATGCTGGCTTACTTTCATATTGTGCTTCAGAAATGACTTAAGGTTTAGAAGATCAAATCTTTAAATCCTGTGTCCTTTTCTAATTATCTTCCTATTATATGATATTGCCCTTGCCTTCTTTAAACTCTTTCTTCCCTTGACTTTTGTACTCTTTCTACCCCTCCCATGCACCCCATCACAACTATTCTCTCTCTCATTTATTGAGAATAGTTTTTAAGCACCTCTGTTGCCATGTACTAATTAAATAATAGGGATTAAAAATGAATAAAATAATTCTTATATTTAATAATTCAATAAAAGGAATATAGAAAGGCAAACAAATAATAATATAGTATGTTAAGTCCTAGGTGAAGACCACAGAGTGGATTCAGATAGACCTGCCTTAGAATAGTGCATTGCTCTTTACTTGCTGCTGTATGATTTTTGGGTAAATGAACCTGTCAGAGTATTTCTCATCTGTAAAAGAAGGTTAATACCAATACCACTTACATGTCTGAACTATTAAGAGACTCATTTGAGATACAGCATTTAATGATACTTGCCACATGTCAGTGCTGAATAAAAAGTTAGTACCTCCTCCCATCCCCCATAGACAGGAAGTAACTAACCTGCCTAGAGGATTTTGGCAAGGGTTAATAGAAGTGACACTTGAAGGAGTAATAGGTTTGCTAGGTAGAAAGGGAGAGGCATTAAGCAATGTAAAAGATTGTGGTATTTTTTCAAGAAATATTGAGAAATTCCACTTAGGGAGGTGTCAGGGCTAGGAATAAGTCTGAAAAAGTAGCTAGGGTTCTTATAAACCATCATAAGGAATCAGACTTCATTGAGGTTGAACACTAAGGAGTGACATGAATCAGTTTGTCTTTTTAAAAGAATTAAACAATCTCTTTTCTATATGCCCCCTTTCTTGATGCTGCTTATTACTATATTGTATTGTGGTTTAGTGGACAAGGCTCTTTTTTCTCAAAAATTGTGAGCTTTGTAGCAGCAAGAACAGAATTTCCCAGTTCCCACATACATTTACTCAGCATATACTATACGCTAGTCTCTGTATTAGTTGCTGAAATATTTTTAAACAAAAAATGTATAAATCACATAGATCTATTGTGCTTAGCATTCCCTTGATTTCAGTAAAATATTAATTGTAGTGGTAAACTATATTTTTCGATTATCTAACCTTGAGTTATAAAATGTTAATTTAGACTTGCCCTTGTACAATTTAGTATTATTTTCTTTGCAAATGACATACATTCAGGCTCTGACTAGCTTTAATAATGAAGAAGACTTATTGCCATGCTTAGTTTGAAAATTCAGAGATAGAGGGAGGGTTTTAGGTTTGGTTTATTCAGTGGTTCAGCAGTATCAACAAAAATAAAATTTTTCTCTCTCTCTCTTCTGCTTTCCAAGGATTGACTGCATCCCAACTATGTTTCTCCTCATAGTTATAAACTAATAAAGGGCTTGATGTCCAGTAGGAGGTGTGTGTATGTGCATGTACTTCTTATCACACTATTCTTCTTGGTTCCTAAAATTAACCTTAAGTGGACCAGCTTTAATCCTATGGCCAGTCTTGAACCAGTAATTATGGCCAGAAAAATGGAGTGTATTAATTGACTTAATAAGCTAATCATCTCCTTACCCTAATTCCCAACTGAAAGTGGAGTCAGTTTCCCCCAAAGCACATGGGGAGAGGAAAAGGATAGATTTGGCTAGGCTGATTATCTCTTAGTGGAGGCTCAGTTCATGCTAACATGTAATGGTTCACTATGTGAGTAGTCAGTAATAATTGTGTGGAGGATGATGAAATTAAGTTTTATATTCCCTACGTAACCTTGAAATATGAAAATGTATCTCTTCTACCCTTTATCTTTCTCTAACTGGAATTTTTATATAAAAGCAGGATTTTCACTGTCATGCAAACAATCTATTGATAGTGCTCTGAGACAACTCACTGTGGTAGTTTGGTCAGTCTGGTCTTCTAGTTGCTGGATAGAAGTGTGACTGTAGGAGTTTATTCTGAATCACCAAATTAGTTCTTTAATGGTTTATAGCAACCTACCGCAAAAGTTGACCAGTTAAAAAGTAAGTCTCAACATCGTAGTCACTATACATAGCTCAGATGCTTTACTCCTGTATCCACAAGGGTTAAAGAATAAACTATCTTTTTTATCATCAGTTTTACTGAAATAACTTGGAAATGGAAAAAAAATACATTAAAATTTGGAGTAGAATATAAAATTCAAAGAATTTTAGAGATAAAATATAAGACTTCAAAGTATTGATTATTCTTTAGGTTATGTTTACCTAACCAATCATGAAAACAAGGTATTGATCTCTGTTAGATGGGAGAACCCCAAATTATTTTCTGCTAGGAAAACTATGGCAAAATGTTCTAATTCCATAACAGCAATTTGAGAGAAGCTGCAAAATTGTAAGTTTACTACTCCTATCTTAAGTTTTCAGATAACATCCCTATGTTTTATGATGAGAAACTGAAGTTCAGAAAGTTGTTACTTGTTCAAGGTCATTGTAAAATGGAGACAGAGTATCTTTCTAGGCAGTAGATTTGAGGACTGTGTCTGAAAATTGATCCTTCTAGAAAATAACATCCTTTTTAAAGTGAAAATACCTATGCTATTATTTTTTTCTGCTTTAGTTTTTTTAAGTAATTAAAGTTGTATGTATATATTTTAATTAATACATATCTTAAACTGTCTTTATTTTCACAGACACTTAGGGTTCCTCTCAGTTTGAAATATTCCTGCCCTTCTGAAAGCACATGGAAATTAGCAGTATCTTCTCTCCTCAAAGTTCTTTCTATTGGGTTACCTGTTGCCCGGCAGCATGCTTCTTCTGGAAAATTTGACAGTATGTGGCCAGAACTAGCCAACACTTTTGAAGACTTTCTCTTTACTAAAAGGTCAGCTCATTCAATTTTACAGTTGTAAGATAATCTCTCAAAAATATATAATGCCTGCAATTGATCTAAAAACAGTATTTCTCATTATTCATTAACAAAGTAATTATTAAGATTGCTCCATCGTATACAAAGCACAACTGATGGATTAAACATTTATCCACTAGCTACATTATCTGTGAGCAAATGGAGATTTTTGCTTTTCACAGTGTTTTTGGTTAGACAGGTATCTATAAGACTATATGGATGCATCATAATTAAGGTTGTTGTGTTTTTTTTTAAGATTTTATTTATTTATTTGAGAGAGAGATTGAGATAGAGAGAGAGAGCACATGAGAGAGGGGAGGGTCAGAGGGAGAAGCAGACTCCCCGCTGAGCAGGGAGCCCGATGCGGGACTCGATCCTGGGGCTCCAGGATCATGACCTGAGCCGAAGGCAGTCGCTTAACCAACTGAGCCACCCAGGCCCCTCATAATTAAGGTTTTAACTCAATGAAGCTAAGAAGATCTGTTTTTTAAATCTGCTGCACATTTGACATTGCAAGAAGAAAATAATTTCTGAAAATCAGTATTTTACTGGAATAAATAAGATTAGTGGTGATAATGATTAGCTCTTTAAGATGTTAGGTTTGGCAAAGAAGAGTGGAATTTTCACTATGTGATATCCACCTGAGGGCTTATGTTTATGGATCTTCTTTTGACCCCTCACTGAGTGAGAGTAGGATAATTGGAACACACATTACATTTTTTGAAGGAGGAATCTTCTGTGGGTTAACTTAAATTTTGCTGTGTGAAAGCATATCTGGTATTTCAAAATTGAAAGTAATGACATCCTAATTTCTGTTTCCACAAATGGTCAGATTTTGTTTTAGTTCCTTTTGTATTTCTCATCTCTAGAAATCTTACAGATACCAATGCAAGTGTACTCTTTGTATTTGCAGAAAAATTATAGGGACTCACAGAGCATATTCAAACAAATTGTTTTTATATTTAACCCTGAAAATATGAGTTCCTCTGTGTACTCCGTTGCCTGAAATCACTATGTTAATTTGTATGAATCAAATAGGTTTAGAAATTTACACTTTTCTCTTTCTTTCCCAGTTATCTGTATATGCATGTTGCTTTATTAATACAAGCTTTTAGATTAGGTTTTTTTGGCAATGAGTAAAACTTCTTTAAGAATTTCTTTTCCTGGGGCACCTGGGTGGCTCAGTCAGTTAAAGCGTCTGCTTTGGGCTTAGGTCATGATCCTGGAGTCCCAGTATCGAGCCCCTCATCGGGCTCCCTGCTCGGCGGGGAGTCTCCTTCTCCCTCTGCCCTTTACCTGCTTGTGTGCTCTGTCTCTCTCTCGCTCTCACTCGCTCTCAAATAAATAAATAAAATCTTAAAAAAAAAGAATTTCTTTTACTGTGGCTGAGTCTTTCCACCATCTTACTTATTCTCAAGTTTCTTGTTGAATATTATTTTATTAAATTCAGTTTAATGAAATAATTTTTCTGTGTTTGCAGGAGGTAGAAAATGAAATCAAAGTCTTAATAATAGATACTGTACATCTTATGTCATTTTGTATTAATGCAGCTGTACTATAATCTCTTTGCAGTCTTTTGCCCGACTATGGCCCCATTTACATTAAAGGTTTGAGTGTATTTGGTATGTTGAAAAATCATATTGCTTAAGAAGCAGCCATTATAGTGCACTGACTCAGGAGCTGGGCCACCTGGATTCAAATCCCAACAGTTACTTTGTAACTGAGATATTTTCATCTGTTAAGTAGGAATGATAATGCTACCTAACTCATAGGGTTATTATGAGGATTAAGTCACTTAAAGTGACTGCTGGACTATTATGTCACTTATTTTTATTTTTTGAGAGAGAGTACATTTGGAAGGGCAGAGGGAGAGAGGGAGAGAGAATCTTAAGCAGGCTCCACGCCCAGTGTGAAGCCCAACGAGGGGCTCCATCTCACAACCCTGAGATCATGACCTGAGCCGAAATCAAGAATTGGATGCTTAACTGACTTGGCTACCCAGGCACCCAGGTATTAAGTCACTTAAAATAAATGACTGCTTAGAGTAGTACCTGGCACATGAGTGCTTTTAAAATGCTTACTACCACTTTTATTATCCTCATTATTGTTATTTCTTTTCCTTAAGAGAAAGTGATATTGTCCATATCCTTTCCCATGAAACAGCCATATTTTAAACCAGAATTTTAAAGACCCAAGCTCTAAATAACTGGGAGTAGAAATTTACTTCTAAATTTGGGATTGCTTATAATGGGTAGAAAATAATAAAGGTACTAAATTCTGCTGTCAGTAACACAGAATTAGCATTCTAAGTTGTGATTATTATAGTTACAGATTTAAGCCTTCTGCTATCCTATATTGAGGGTCAGGAGACCCATGACCTACTTTGGACTCTGCCACCTCCTTTCTGTTGACCTTGAACTGGTTGTTTCCCTTCAGTAGGCATCGTTTTCTCTTAATTATAAGGTGAAATGAATTGATTAGTTGTGAAGGTCTACTAGTTTATATATCTTGACTTAAATTTTTCATCAATGTGAAAACAGCTAAGATGGATAAAGCCAGTCCAAAAATATTTTAAGCCTCAAATTGAAAGCTTTCGTTAGTTAGTTGACGTTAAAAATGTAGTGCTCATGAAGAGAACTTAAAAACGATGCATATTTTTAGTTTCATGAGAAGGCTTTGTTTTTTGTTTTCCAAATACTTGATTATTTTGGAAATCACAAATTTTTATTTTATGTCACATATATACTTGTTCTATAACTGAAGTCCATCACTAGTATTTGAACAGTAAGGTGGTGTTTCAGAATGTCGCTTGGAGTAACAAGACTTAGGTTTTTAAATATTTGGGTATATTTTATGTTGGAACATTTATAAATCCTTTAACTTAATATATACTCTAAGACTTTGTGAATAACCATGACTTTCTCTGATATTTCTTAGCTTTTTTTTTGGTCTGTAAGCTGCTTTGGCAAGGCAGTATAATAACAAAGAAATACAAATAAAACCAAAATTAGCTAGAAGTAAACAAAGGCTTTGGACATTATTGAGGACTATGATAAGTAAATACTTTAAATGAGAAAAAGAAAAAACATGATTAAAGATGAACAACATAAGCACTGTGATCTGGTAGACACTTGAGGTTTATTAGGAATTCATTCAATCATCCTTAGAGTACTGAAACATGGTTTTTATCCTGTAGAATACACTTGGGCTAGTGTGAGAATTCATACAGTTAATGGTCAGTGGACTTTAAGTTTAAAATCACTAAGTAGTACCTAAAAGAAATCAGGTGAAACATATTCACACAAAAACTTATTCAGTAATGTGCATAGCAGTATTTTTCATAATAGCTAAAAATGAAAACAATCCAAATGTTTATCAGCTGTTGAGTGGATAAATTAAATGTGGTATATCCATAGAATGGAATATTCAGCCATAAAAAGGGATAAAATACTGATGCATGCATGCTACAATATAGATGAATCTTGAAGATGTTATGCTAAGTGAAAGAAACCAGACACGAAAGGCCATATATCGTATGATCTCATTTATATAGTATATCCAGAATAGGCAAATGCGTAGAGACAGAAAGTAGATTAATGGCCACAGGTGGGAGGAGGAGACAATGAGGAGTGACTGCAAAAAGTACAGAATGTCATTCAGGAGTGATGAAAATATTCTAGAATTAGAAGTGGCACAACTTTGTGAATATACTAAAAAGCACTGAATTATACACTTTAAAAAGGTGAATTTTATGGTATATGAAATTGTATCTCAGTACATTTTTTTAATGTACCATGCAGAGAGAACTGACAAAAAATACAAATAACACTTTATCAGTTTGAAGGCTCTTTTATTTCAAATAAAGATTCGTAAAAATAATTTTTTTTTTTTTTAAAGATTTTATTTATTTATTTGACAGAGAGAGACACAGCGAGAGAGGGAACACAAGCAGAGGGAGTGGGAGAGGGAGAAGCAGGCTTCCTGCTGAGCAGGGAGCCCGATGCGGGGCTCGATCCCAGGACCCTGGGACCATGACCCGAGCCGAAGGCAGACGCTTAACCGACTGAGCCACCCAGGCGCCCCCGTAAAAATAATTTTTTAAAAAATCACTAACTGGGGCGCCTGGGTGGCTCAGTTGGTTAAGTGACTGCCTTCGGCTCAGGTCATGATCCTGGAGTCCCGGGATCAAGTCCCATATCGGGCTCCCTGCTCAGCGGGGAGTCTGCTTCTCCCTCTGACCCTCCCCCCTCTCATGCTCTCTCTATCTCAATCTCTCTCTCAAATAAATAAATAAAATCTTTAAAAAAAATCACTAACTTACAAACCTCAATCTTAGAGAATTTAAGGATCTTATATGGCCCATTTCTACCTGCAATATTGACAGTCTCTACTTATAATTTATAGGTAATCTGTGTTAATCATCAGTGTTTTTTGATATGCTCGAAGTGTTTAGTAAGGATACTAACTCTAAGTTAAATAACAATTAGTTTGAGTTTTGAGATCAGAATACTTAACCTATGCATGATCGAATAATTTCCCAATTTTATTGATCACTGGGATTAGGAGTAATGAACTTTTCAGTTTCTGACTTTGTGTGCTACGTTCTTTCCTCATTATAAAATATTTAAAAAATCCATTTAAGTGTTTCTGATATATGATTCCATTAACATTAATATTATTAGTGTCTGTTCCTAATAATGCTTTTTTTAAATTGGTAGTCAGCCCATCCTTAGTTACGTCCACCATCATAATTTTTTTGTATCAATGAACACTTACATTACTTGATTATAAATTAGAATTAAACATACAGATACAGATAGGATCTGTGAAGCTACTTTAGTAGTAGTGGTTATGAAATTCTCACCATTGGTGCAAATTTGGGTACGTCTTTAAATTTTTTTCCTGTAGTTTATTACTACCAGATTATAGAGTTAGTCTAGGACTTGCACAGCAGAATGCAAGTTTCATGCAACAGGGACTGGGTCCATCTTATTCACAGCTGGATCTTGTATAGTGCCTGATACAGAGTATTTGGTACTCAGTAAATATTTGTTGGATGGAAATATCTAAGTCAAACAAAAAAGATCTGGTACCTATACTGGAGTGTGCGCGCGCGCGTGTGTGTATGTGTATTTGACCAAATAATACCAAATAAAGCAAAAATAGCCCTAGATATAAAAGTGTACACTATAACTCTAATCCTAAATATGACACTATTTTTACATTTACAACATGAAAGAGAAGGATTTAAGCTCAAATATCGGAGAAGTTTAGGGTCAAATTCTGACCTTGTCATTTGCTTACAGTACATTCTTGGTCATATTACTAGCATTTGAAGCCTCAGTTTCCTCTTCTGTCAATTACATGAGGAAAAATACTACATGTGGTTACTGTGCAATCATAGGAGGTAATACAAATAAAGCTCTTAGTACATTGGCTGGCTCTGTAATTTTAGCTGTTATTATTATTGTAATAATCATTAACATCTGATTCTCAGCTGTTTATAAGTAGTTAATATTTCACTGTTTCATAAATTTAATACCATTTTACTGTTCATTCTTATTAAGAGTCACATGGTTTAGAATTCACCTTGGTTCTCAGAATGTTGATTTCCACTGATCTTGCTGGAACAATTTTCTGCCTTTTTTTTTTTAGATGTTCTCTTTTTTATTGTAAAGATCTTTAATATATTGTGTTTATTATAAATTATTATAATAATTGATTATTATGGTCAGTGATTAATGGGCAGTCTCTGAATGAATAGTTCAGCAGATGACCAAGACACTCTTAAGTCACTGGCAATATAAGTGAATTCAGGTATCATCACAATGGTAATTTTTGTTGTTACTGCAGATGATAATAATATCCTCACTTTTTATTGTTTTTTCATTCATTAGTACTGAAAGGAGTTTAGTTTTACAGATTTTATTTAGTTCAGGATTGGACCAAGCATTTTTGTAGCTAGAAGTTCATGTTTGTAATTAGTTTAGTCACACTGATAACTTTGATTAAAAATAACTGTCCTTTTAAATAAATGGTAATGTTTAACCTGGTTGAGAAAATACTTTTTGTCATTTGAATACTGTTTATTTTCAGGGAACATTTTACCTTTTAAAAATCAAGTGTTTTGTTTATTTTTTTAGCATACCTCCAGATAATCTCTCTATTCAAGAATTTCAAAGAAATGAAAGTATTGATGTTGAGGTGAGGAAGCTATTTAAAACATTTTCCCATAACCATTTGTGCAAACCAAATAGTAGAAATGTTGAAACTATAAAATTGCTAAGAGAAGAAGTAAAGTGATAGGTTTAAGATTGAACCTAAAAGCAGTAAAACTCTCACAAAGATTAAAGGTTAGTTTTGAAAGCACTGACATGATTTCCTTATTTTGTTAGCTTTTAGTCTAAATACTCAGTTGTGTCCATTTAATAATTTAAGAAAGCAGTTGATTCAGTAAAATCTATTGGTTATTGAGCATGTATTTGAGAGTTTGCTCTATAGTTTGGCAAACCAGGTGTTGTGGTTCAAAATTATAAGTTGTTTAGAATTTTTTTTAAGTACGCTCTGTGCCCAACATGGGGCTTGAACTCATGACCCTGAGATCAAGTGTCACACAGTCTTCCGACTGAGCCAGCCAGGCACCCCTAGATTTCCGTTTTTAACCAGAAGTAGATAGAGCCTCCAGAACTCTGGAGGCACATAATGAGTGTTTTTTAAAGAATATATTTTTTTTATTGTAAATGGAGTTTAAAGAAGTCGTTTTTGGTTATGGGTTTTTTGTTGGGGAAGGTGTTTTGATGATTTTCCTTTAAGTGGGATAAAAGATCCTTTAAGTAAATAAGTTAACTACTTTGAAGTGTACATGAAAAGTATATGCATCATGTACATATAAAATATTGCCTTTTGTCCATTAGTGTTTTTCTTCTTTTTCTTCAAAGGGCAAAATAACACATTATATGTTAGAAATGAGCTATTCAGCAAAAATGAATATAACTTTACTTTCTCTTTTGGCTTGTTTACAGTTCTAAAAAGGTGATTTAACTTTTATTCTTAATTCTGTTTCGGATATTTTATTCTAACATGGATACATTTCATGTGAGATCAACATATATTAAAATGGCTGCATAGTAAACAGTTTATAGGATTGACTGTTTTGTAATTGACTATAAAAAATAAAATAAATTTATTGTTATTATTACTAAGACAGATGAAGGAAGTAGGCTACTCATCCACTCATCCTGTATGTTAACATTAAAATATTTATGTAGTTAATTAAGGAAGATTCTTTAATCAATTTTCTTTTAAAATAAAATTTAGATTTTACTGTAGAAATTGTGATTTGATTGGTCTTCTTCAAGAAAAAAAATGCATTTGAGTTTGCCTCTTTTGTTTTAGGTAGTTCAGCTTATCAGCACTGAGATACTACCTTATGCCAATTTTATTCCTAAGGAATTTGTCGGTCAGATAATGACTATGCTTAATAAGGGCTCAATACATTCTCAGTCATCTTCATTTACAGGTATGTTATTTTAATGATTTATTAAAAATGTTAGTAAGTATTGAAGTACTTTGGAAGAAGCTGATTGTAGAAATGTTTAGTCCTGTGATTGTGGTAAAATGTAAACTGGAGAATAGTAGGGTAAATTTTAAGAATGTAATAGAACATTAAGTTTTATGAGGGGAAAATGTGAATATTCTGTGAATTATGTGTTATGAATTAAATTGCAGAGCACTTAGGAAATCTGCCTAAGTCACTGTTGGCTGACACAACTTAACAGTTTTGTGAAGTCATGAATTATTGGGAAGTAATGAGTGTATATTCTGCCACCTAGCAGTTGGCTAACTTCTTTGAGTCTCCATTTTATCATCTGTGAAATGAAGATATTAATATCAGTCACTCAGAATTATAAATTACAGTTAGTCAGTTAAAACAAATAGATGCCTTAACATTTGTTAATGGAACTAAATTTAGTAAATTCTTAACCATGTGCAGGGTATTCTGCTAGAATGTTACCTCTTTCCTCACAGTATTTCTATGAGGATAGTTTCCACCATATTGCAGAGGGGAAATGGGTTGAGAAAGGTTGGAAAAATTATCCATAATCTAAACGCTGGAAGCCAAATTCATCCTTAAAAAGAACTCCATGCTCTTTTTCATTTTATCATGCTACTTTATTGGGAGATAGTACTTAAATTGCTTTTTGCTATTATTTCTCTTTTTCTAAACCTGTGCTCAATTGTTAAATATAATTGTGGTATCATAACATGATTTTTCTCTGAGATGATTAAAAAAGTATAAATTTGTGCCATGCATATCCTTAATCCCCAGAATTTACCAGAGCCATGACTAACTTCTGTGGAACTGTGCTAAACACTTTAAAAAGCATTTAAATGTGTACAGTTTGGCCACTAGATGTCTCTCATATTGCTTACTTCACAAACTACAGTAGTTCTTTTCTCAGCCCAGTGATAAAGTGATAAAAGTGATCTGATAAAGTGCAGATATAACGAAATAAAAATCTCAGAAAAAAAAATTAAAACCTACTTATGTTAATACAGTCAACTTTTTATTATTAAGAGTATATAAAAATTTCTAGATACATTTTTATAAAAAGGAATTTATGAACAATATTTATAATCAGATGTAAATATTTTAAGCTAAATAAGAACTACTGAATTGCCATGTATACTTTTTCAAGCAGTTTCTGATGATACCTCTTGCCATTTATAGTACTAAATATACCAACATAAGGAAGGTACATGGACCTCCTTTGCTATAGGACACAAACTTCTCAGTTTGAACTTGGAGGGCTTTTTTAAACGTATATATAGAGTTGGTCCGTGCTAAACTGGACCAACCTATAAAGACTTAGGTTCCAGTCATCATTTTTGGTCCACCACTCTTAAGTATGACCTGATAGCCAAAGCTTTCAGAGAAAATCTTCCAACACAAAAGAGAAAAACCAAAACAAATGAATAGGGAGTAAAAGAAACTCAGAGGAAAGGTAAATTCAGGGCCACAGAAACATTCTGTCCCCAAAAGCACAATTATAATTAGGATCTTCAAAGAGTTAAAAGATTTTACATCCATGAAACAGAAAATGCTATTAAGGAGCAATCATTACAAGAAAGAGTTCATAGAAACTAAAAATGTGATCACTGAAATAACAAGTCCAGTGAAGGGTTGCAAGAAAATATAAGGAAATAACCCAAAAGCAGAGAAAGACAAAAAAGTGAGCACTATGACAAGAAAGTAAGAAAATGAATCGAAGAGGTCTAACATCTGACAGTGGGTCTTCCAGAAAGAGAAAATATAGGGCAAAGCTAAAAGGAAATTATCAAAGACATAAACCAAAGAAATCAGTCTCCAGATTAAAAATGGTCACTCAGTAACCAGAGAGTGAAAGAAAAAAGACCCACAAGAAGATCCACAGATTTCATGTTGTCATGAAATTTCAGAGTACTTGGGCTAAAGAGAAGATTTTACAAGATTTCAGAAAGAAGAGAAAAAAGGCCAACACAAAAGAATTTTGTCAAGATGATACTGGACTTCTCAGTAACAGCATTGGATGCTAACAGACATTGATGCAGTGGTTTCAGAGTTATAATTGGAAAGGATTTTTAACATGGAGTTTCATACGTAGGCCCATCGTTGTCAAAGTATAAGCGTAGATGGTAATTCTCAAGTGTCAGCATGCATTATAATCAGCTGCAAGGGCAAGCTATTGCTGGGCTGTATTCTCTGAGCTTCTGATTCAGTAGGTCCAGGGTGGGATATGAGAATTTGTATTTCTAACGAGTTCTCTGGTGATGCTGATGCTGCTAGGTACTACTCTTTGAGTACCACAGAAAAGTAATGACATTTTCGGAAGTGCAAGTTCTGAAAAATTTTACTTCCTAGTCAGTCTTTCTCAGGTACTTCAGAATGTGCTCCATGAAAACAAAGGAGTAAACCAAAGAAACAGAAGGCATGGATCTAGGAAGTGGGGTAGAAAACAAGAGAGAATAAAAACAATTCTGAGGATGTGGCAAAGACTAGTTCGAGGATATAGCTGGACAGCAGGTCTGGAGAGCAGCTAGTCCACACTAGAGCAGAGATCTGGCTCTGGGAAAGATGTTGCCAAGAAGAAGGAAGAAAGGGAGGGAGGAAGAAGGAAGAAAGAGTATCACCAAGTACGACCTTGTGGAAAACTATTGAGAAGTATTTTATATGCTGTCAAAGGGTATAAAAAGACAAAGATAAGAGAAATATTATGTAGAAGTGATGACAGTGGACAGTCTTGCCTTGTTTTTGATCTTGCAAGGGGGAAAATTGCTATATATATGCTGTTAGCTATAAGTTTTTCATAGATGCCTTTCATCAGTTGAATTTCCTTCCATTTCTAGTTGGCTAAGAGTCGTTATCATTAAGGTTATTAATTTAACCTTTCGTTAACCATTAAAAATTTTTAATTTTACAGAAGCAGAGATTGATATTCGTTTGAGAGAGGAATTTTCTAAAATGTGTTTTGAAACACTGCTCCAGTTTTCCTTCAGTAACAAAGTCACAACACCTCAAGAAGGCTACATCTCACGAATGGCACTCTCAGTGCTTTTAAAGAGATCTCAAGATGTGCTTCATCGTTATATAGAGGATGAAAGATTAAGTGGTAAATGCCCTCTTCCAAGGTATAAATTTTATTTTATAGATAAAGGAAATATGTTATCATAGTTACTAATAATAAAAAAGCTCTAAGCATTAAGTTGTTTTTATAAGTGATTTGAACGTAACCTGAAGCTGTTTATAATTTTATTCATTTTATACAGTGTAAATATTCATAAGTTTTGCTGCAGATATATTAGTGTATTTTATTATGGGGTGCTCTTTCAGACTCCTTATGGAGGGTAAATAATATATATGTACCAAATTTCCTTTTTGGATTTAAAAGAAAATTTTGAATTCTAAAATATATCGTCTTAAGGATTTCTGGATAAGGACTTGTGGATCCGTATGAGCACATGAGTATGAATCTCTCTAGAGAGACAATAATAGATGAATCATACTCTAGGAACTTCCTAGGTTGTTTTACAGTTATTTTTAGATTTCTCTATAAGTCAGCTAGCCATGTCTTAGATCTTCTTGTCATCTGATTTGCTTAATTAAGCCCTTGTTCCTGAACTAACTTGCTTACCATTTAGTCAAGCTGTGTCGTAGAATGGACTCTAGGCCTTTCTGCTAAGCTAAGACTAATCAAAGTTGGGGTAGAAATCAGAATTCATCAAAAAATGCAATCATAAATTAGGGTTATGTCAGCAATCTATTTTTTAATGTGGGAATTAGAGTTTAAGGCAAAACAAATGAAACAAAATAATGTTGGAAGACAAAGTTGTCAAAGTCAGGAAAGAGTTACGAAAATCATTATGGGTTCCATCTCATATAAGGTAGTATTGGAGAGGTAAATCACCAGCCCTAAATCTTTGTGTACATTCTTATTTACATAATAAAATTTTGGAGTGAGAATTGACTTGTCAGAATATAAAGACATTTTAAAAGCTTTTGATATGTATTACAAATTCCCTACCAGAGATTTCTACCAATTTGCATTATGATTTATTTTATCTTTTAAAATTTGATGAATGAAAAATAGTTACATAGTAGTTTGCTGTTGTTATTTTTTTTAATTATCAATGCTATTAGTCATTTATATTTCTACTTTTGGGGTCCAACTGTATTTTGAATTTCTAAAACATAAATTATACCTCTTCCTATTCAGATTTATATGCGAAAGTTCCAAAGACAGGTGTTGGTAATTTGGTTATGGGCATAATTGAAAATTGGTTTATCAAAATTATCTCTGAAGTATACTCGGAAAAGCAGTAATAAAGTTGTTTTGCTTTGGATATTTTTATTTATTAGATTATAACATTATTTGATTTCAGAAAGCAATTTTTCCTTGTTTATGTTTTTAGTGTTTATTGCTTTTAAATTGAGTCTTATTTATAGTTGTCCTATAAAGTGTTATATCGTATCATCCTGTGTTTGACTCAGTATCATTACATTATTTTCTAAACTACATCGCAACACAATAACATTATCTTCTATGCTTAAAAAGGGAGACTTGAAATATACTCTGTCATAATATTAGAAAAATCTTTTTTGGGGGCACCTGGGTGGCTCAGTTGGTTAAGCGTCTGCCTTCGGCTCAGGTCATGATCCCAGGGTCCTGGGATCAAGCCCCGCATCAGGCTCCCAGCTCTGCAGGAAGCCTGCTTCTCCCTCTCCCACTCCCCCTGCTTGTGTTCCTGCTCTCGCTGTCTGTCTCTCTGTCAAATAAAGAAATAAAATCTTAAAAAAAAAAGAAAAAAAAGAAAAATCTTTTTTTGTAGAATAAAAACACAGATTCGTATCAGGACTGAGGAGACTAGGTAGGGAGAAAGAAGGGAATCAAGCTACTCTTGTTGATCCTTTACTCCCAAGTTCATTCTTCATTGCTAACATCTCCAAATAGTACTGCCTTAGGATTAATTTTGAGCATATTTCTTTTGTTGTATTAGAAAGTTAAATAAGTTCTATTGTAATTTTTTTCCCCACCCCAGCACTATTGTAAATTTTTTTTAAAAGATTATTTATTTGAGAGAGAGAGAGTACAAGGGTGGGGGGAGAGGAGAGAGAGAGAGTCAAGCAGACTCTGCGCTGAGCTCAAAGGCCAACATGAGCTTGACCTTATGACCCTGAGATCATGACCTCATGACCCTGAAATCATAACCCTGAGATCACAGTGAGGCTAAAACCAAGTGTTGGATCATGACTTCATGACCCTGAAATCATAACCCTGAGATCACAATGAGGCCGAAACCAAGTGTTGGACGCTTAACCAACTGTGCCATCCAGGCATCCCTGTACTATTGTAATTTTAAATGTCCTTCTAACAGCATGATAAAATATATGCCAGGAGGTAGTAGTCGTCTTTATTTCCATTTAAATTTTGGTAAATCCTTTTTAGCACTAACTAGTTAAAAAGGAAAAAAAACCCCACTTTTGTAGAGAAGCTTTAAAAGCATGTATAAAATGTCTTAAATTTAAATAATTATGTTAAATATCTTACAAATAAATTTGGATTTGCCTGAATAGATGCCCCCGTTTGAAATTGATAACTTATGATAAGAATAACTCTAAATCTTATTTGTACACTGAAGTACATATTAATAAAATAATTTTTCTTTTTAAGAATTTAAAACTAACATTAACTTTGCATTGTATTGTGTCCAGTATTTTTCCAAAGTACATCTACTTGTATAAACCTAGTAAAAAACACACATGGCATATCTTAAAATCCTGATGGAAATAATTTCCCATCTCTTTTTTAGGCAACAAGTAACAGAAATCATATTTGTTTTAAAAGCGGTCAGTACTCTCATTGATTCACTTAAGAAAACTCAGCCTGAGAATGGTAAGTGCTTAGAAACTCAGTTATTCTAAACTCATAGCATTTATGTTCTATTTCTGATGTACTTCTCTATTATTATTATTAAGTTAACTAAATTTTAGGAACATAATAGCTATTAGACTTTCTTTTTTCCAGTCCTTATGACAGCAAAGAATCAAGTCCATTAGGATGTCAATTAAGTAAAATTAATTTGTAATGTTTAGCTTCTTTATGTTAAATAACAGTTTGGTTGTTTTTTTTTTTTTTTAAGTTGGTCTGAATTCAGGATGTTGCATGGATAATTCATAGTTCATATATTTTTAATGTAGAACATTACTGAGATTTTGGGTAGGTGTAGGCTTCCATCCTACGTGTGTACTGAATTACAGTGTAAGTATAAACTGTACAACTTTGAATCATTTTATAGCTTTACCTCATTTGTTTCCCCTTTCTGTAACTCATTCCTCTTCTGTCCATATTTTGTTATTGCCAGAAATGATTTTTCCAAAAGTGCAGCTTTGATCATTCATTTTCCCATCTTTGTAGAACAAAAAATTTTCATTTACCATTACCTACCAAATGCAAAGAGTACTGTTGTCAGACCACATTAGATTTATGGTTTATTTCCACTAGACATCATTTTTCCTATTTTCCCACCAAACTAAAATTCTCAGTCTACCCAAGTATTCCCAACCTTTTGCTTATTTCATTCTCCTGCCTGCATCTACCTAGTTCAAATAGCACTCACTCCACTTTTAAGCCTTGTTTTTAATCCTGAATGGTGAGTGATTTCTCTTTTTATTGAACTCATAGCTGTTTTATATATACCTTTGTCTTAAAGCACTCCATATGTATTACAGTTACACACATACATGGCTCAGTTCCTTTAACTTGTAAACTTCTTGAGAGGCTTTTGGGGCCATGTTTTGCTCTATTTTGAATCCTCTGCATTGCAATGCAAAGTGGTTTGTTCGAGGACAGGCTAAAGAGCTGGCACCAGAATATGAGTTAATTGTGTCACTGAACACAGTGGTTCAGTTGACATTTTTTATACAACAAGCCTTTGTTAAAGAAGGAGTGTGTTGATTTATATTCTGGCCCAAGCACCTTAGCCGACTGGCACTTTAAGCAGCATTACTTTTAATACCCAAGAAGGAGGTTCCTAATAAATGCCTTATAAATGAGCCCTAGGATATTTGTTCCTGGCAGTTATTATATAATAAAAGTAAATACATATTTTTCTGTTTTCAAAATTTACCTTTGGCCTAGAAAGGGTGAGTATTATACTAAAAACCTTAAGGAGCAATAGATTTATATTTATTCAATCCAAAGGAGGGGGTAGAATTTGTAAGAAAATTGTGGGAGCAATATTCTGACTTCATCCCATCAAGTTCAAATTTGAGTTCTCTTTTTTTTTTTTTTTTTAGATTTTATTTATTTATTTGACAGAGAGACAGCGAGAGAGGGAACAAAAGCAGGGGGAGTGGAAGAGGGAGAAGCAGGCCTCCCGCTGAGCAGGGAGCCTGATGTGGGGCTTGATCCCAGGGCTCCGGGATCATGACCCGAGCCGAAGGCAGACGCTTAACGACTGAGCCACCCAGGCGCCCCCAAATTTGAGTTCTCTTAAAAAATGTTCTGGTTGATCTTTCAGAGAGGGAAACCATGCATTAACTTCCTAGTGACCAGTAAAATCTTTATTAGATCATAGGATAGAATTGGATTCTTAAAAATATATTTAAAACTTAAACAGGAAATTCTCCAATTCCCATGTTATTGCTATAGATGTATTAAATATAACCAGTGTATTTGGATGCATAGTGCTTGCATTTTGTAGGAGATTAAGACAGCTGTCAAGAATTTAAGCAGAATTTGTCAGTAACCTTTTTTTACCCTTTCTTTCCTTTCCTTTTCTTTTCTTCTTCTTTCTTTTTTTTTTTTTTACAAAGCCAGTGGGCCATGAATAGGGAAGTGCGGTAATGATAGATGATTTAACTTATTGTTAAAAATTGTCTAAGAGAGTTTGAATTCTGGCTCTGAACATATGAAGTGAAAATTTGAATTAAATGTAACCATAAATGATGATGATGATATTGTAACATATTAAAAACCTATGATAATCTTCATTAAGAAACAGGAAAAAAAGGAGGTAACTTAGAAAAAGCCAGGCCTTTCCAGTGGAAATATGTTGGATTGCTCATAGCCAGTCCAAAATTAATTCAGGAGGATAGGTATAAGGTTTGGAACCAATGTATACCCAACATTTGTTTAGGACATTTGTCATTTGTTTTAGGGCTTTTTAGAGGGAGAGAAGACATTTGTTGGACTTATTTTTAATTTGGGGGAATTTTGTTTTTATTGTTTTATTTGATTTTACTTCAAAATTTGATAGGTAGTAACCATATACATGGTTCAAATATTCAAAAACATAAAAAGACATACAGGGAAAAGTTTAAAGATCATCTTTACCCTATTTTAGATCTGTCTAGTTCTTCACTCACCATAGGCAACCATTTTTATTAGTTTGTAGATCGTTCCATAAGTTTATTATGTAAATACAAAATATATACTCCAGTATGCCCCCAATTTTAAACATAAATGAATATACTTAATAGACCCGCATTATATCTACTGTTCTGAAATCTCTGTTTTTCTCCACTTCATGTAATAGAGAGATTCTTCCATATAATTGCATACGGCTTTTTCATTCCTTTTTGATAGGTAGTCCAAGGTGCCCACCAAGATATATAGTGGGTTTTTAAAACAATATTTTAATTTAAGAAATTTGAGTAACTTCCCCTGAGTTTAAGATGTGATCTTAAACAGTGTATTTTTGTATTTTCCTGTAATAAACCAAGAATTAATTTTGTCAGTTGACTCCATCTGGGGCAATCTAGGTAGGTTTCAATCTGTGTAACCCCTCTTTTTTTGATAGTAAAATACACATAAACATTTATAATCAGCCATTTTTAAGTGTACAGTTCAGTGGTATTCAATACATTCATAATAGTGTACTGCCATCAGCACCATCCATCTCCGTAACTCTTCTCATCTTGTAACTGGAACTCTACACTTATTAAACGATAACTCCTATTCCCCACTTCTCCCAGCTCCTGGCAACCACCATTCTACTTTCTATCATTATGATTTTGACTACTCTGAGTATCTCATATAAGTTGAAGCATATAGTATTTGTCTTTTGTGGCTGGCTTTTTTCACTTAGTATAATGCCATCATGGTTCATTCATATCATAGCATGTTGGAGAATTTCCTTTTTAAGACTGAGTAATATTCCTGTGTGTGTGTGTGTGTGTGTGTGTGTGTATCTCATGTTTTCCTTATCCATTCATCCATTGGTAGACACTTGGGTGGATTCCACATTTTAGCGATTGTGAATAATGCCGCAATGAACGTGTGTACAGAAATCTCTTCAAGACCCTGCTTTCAATTCTTTTGAGAATATACCCAGAAGTAGAATTGCTGAATCATATGGTAATTTTATTTTTTATTTTTTTAATTTTTAAATTAATTTTTTTTTATTTTTAAAGATTTTATTTATTCATTTGAGAGAGAGACAGAGACAGAGCAAAAACGGGGAGAGGCAGAGGGAGAGTGGGGAAGCATACTGCCTGCTGAACTGGGAGCCCAACATGGGGCTCGATCCCAGGACCTGAAGATCATGACCTGAGCTGAAGGCAGGTGCTTAACCATCTGAGCCACCCAGGCGCCCCTCTATTTTTTTTATTTTTTGAGGAACCACTATATTATTTTCTACTGTGGCTGTATCATTTTACATTCCCACCATGAGTGAGTAAGATTCTAATTTCTCCACATCTTCATGAATACTTGGGGTTTTTTGTTTTTCCTTTTTGTTTTTGTTGATAGTGGCCATTTTAATGAATAGGAGGCGGGTCATATTGTTGTTTTGATTTGCATTTCCCTCATGATTAGCGATGTTGAGCATCTTTTCATGTGCATAATTGGCCATTTGTATATCTCCTTTGGAGAAATGTGTATTCAAACGCTTTGCAGATTTTTTAATTGAGGGATTTGTTTTGTTGTTGTTGTTGAAGCCTCTCTATCTGCACCTCTGTGATCAGAAGCATCTATCAGAGCACAGATCCCTGGAATTTGAAGGATGGGTCCTTTTTGCCCACCATGGCCTTCTGTAAGCTGTGTGCTAGCTGCTCCAGGAACACGTGCACGTCTCCCAACCACATGGCTAGGAGTGAGGGATGGGTAGCTGCTACTGTGCTAAGACCTGAAACTGACCCAAATCAATCACGATATACTGTCCAAATCTACCTCAGGAAGTTGCAGGCCTTCAGTAGACTCCAGAGTTCCAAAATAGTTGCAGATTCTGCCAATGCAATTGTTGTCTAGGTGGGTAGACAAATTCCTAGTACTTCCTACTCTGCCATTTTTCTAGAATGCTCTCTGTGCAGTCTTTTGTCAAATGGTTAGTGGAAAGTTTCACAGACAACAGCTGGAGCAGACGGTTTAGAACTTCTTAGACTGGTGGTTTTTAAACTGTTTTCTGTCAAGCAGCACAGTTCTTTTTACAAATGAAATCTGATACGGATTCCTAATATATACAGATTAAAAACAGCTCTGGCCTTACATTCCCTCCCTCACCGTTACCCATCAGCCCCACTCCCACGCTGAAGAAGCCCCTGTTTGGGTGAAGTAGGGATTACATGAACAGGTCAACATTTCCCAAGATTAGTACTAAGCAGTGAATATTAATGATGATGAGTGAGGTCAGTAGATACTGAATTTAAAAAAGTTCTATAACCAAATTAATTTTGGAAGCCTTGAATTAGATAAAGTTAAACCTCTTCTTTTACTCCAGGTTTTTAATAAATTCGTGTGAATTATGACTCCCCAAAAAGGAAGATAATATATATAACATGTGCCAAATTTACCTGAATATTATTTTTTTTATAAGAAGTATCTTGAAGAACACTAGTTTGAGAAACTTATTCCTTTATTCTCCAACAGAAGTTGAGATAAAGAGAAATTGGAGTGAAAAATAGAATTAAAGTTACTTAGGTATAATACAGTATCCTTTCGTTTTTACTGTACTGCCTCCTAGATCTGAATTTTACTCCGCAAAGTGTCATATACATATACAGTCTAACAAAAATTTGTCAGCTGGTTTTATTCCATATTGTACTCTCAGCAATATGCACAGTACTTCTAGGAAAATAGAAATGTAATACGTGATCTCAGAATATAAGGAAATTATAAACTAATTGGGATATAACCCTTTTGCCCATTCACCAAATAGCATTCAACTATACTAGTTGTCGGTGATAGTGGTGAGGAACACAGACATGTCACTCCCCACTGAAGTTTAAATGTAGTGATATACGTTACAAATTAGGAAGCAGTATAAGAGAAGAATGGATCTGTGTGGTCACTTGAAACTAAAATGAATATCAAGGATGTTACTGGGAAAATCATTTAAATATTTATATTTTTAGCATACAACTGCATAAGAAATTGAGTTTTCTAATTGTTCTTGAAATATATACTACATTGTCTGGCACTTATACTGAAAATGACAAAAGTTTGAATTCTAGGTTACTTTGTCAGCTTCCAAGGCCTTCACAAATTTAAATTATCATTTAAAATGGACTTTATCGAATTTCTTGGTATTGATGGCTCTGCACACTGACCATATGTTTTTCCCTTATATCTTATTAAATATTGTGGGAAATCTTCCAAAGATTTAAAAATAAAAAAAGGGTACAGGCTTGTGGAATCTCCATATTTGGGGATATTTTTCTTTGCCTTGTATTTAGAGGATTGTTTATGTTAATTGCATAATCTCTGCTATTTAAACCCACACATTTTTGAGATTTTATACTTTTTAATTACAGTTGATGGAAATACCTGGGCACAAGTGATTGCTTTATACCCAACTTTAGTAGAATGCATCACCTGCTCATCTGCAGAAGTCTGCTCTGCACTTAAAGAGGCACTAGTTCCTTTTAAGGATTTCATGCAACCACCAGCATCCAAAGTTCAAAATGGAGAATCTTGACCAGCTACAATAATTTTAAAGAAGAAAGCTATCTCAAGAATGTTTGATCCTCAGTGAGTCTTCTATGAGAAGGACATTTCTTACTACAAACAATTCTTGGCAGCTGGTGTTGGCCTCCTTTAAATTACACTTACCTGAGTTCAATAATTCATTTTACAAGCTTACATGTCAACAAAGGCTCCTGAATGAGTAGCAGTGGAAGCCTTTAGTAAGTTAAGCTGATGGAGAGTTAATACTACATCATACCTGCTACTTTATCTTCAACTGGTGATTTAAAAGTGAGCTTATGTACAGTTTGTGGTGTATGTGTTAACGATGTACTTTTTAAAAAGAAAGAAAAGATATTTCATTCAGTCAGATTTATTAGGCTGGTGTTTTTGCACCCTTTTTCAAGTATAAAATTGTACTAAAATTTTATGCAAGATGGTACTGTAACATTCCATATTATCTATAACCAGCCTTTGTAAACAAAGGGAACTGATAAACTTGTGTGTATAATAAATGGTACAGTTCTGTATAAAATAGTTGCATTTATTGTTTAAATTTTTAAAATATTGATAATGTTAAATGCTTGAAGCTGTATTTATTATTAATACAAAATTGTTTGCTTACATTTTTACTTATAATTTGCCTTCTTAAGCAGCAGGTATGCTCACCATATGATCATGCAGTTATCTCAGTGCTTATTTTAAATGTATTTACCAGTGACTATTAAACATCTGACCAGAAAGGTCATGTGAACACAGCAGCAAATAGTTTATGATTTGCTGATTTTGCAACTTTGAAGTATAAGTTATTAACTAAATACATTGGGATATATTGTAGCGCTCTGAATCCATCATACCTCATTTCTTTAAATATCTTTCCCAGCTTTCACATAAATCTGTCTGTTTTTATATTTGGTGTCTGAATTTTAAAGACTTTTCATATTATATTTCTACTGATTTTTTTCCCCCCACTGACTAAGCATTTATCACTGTCTTTGAATTATGACCCAGGCAAGATGATTCCAGATTTCCAAATTTTGCCTGTGAAGTTTTGTTCATTTTAGTGTTTCATTTTGTAATGTCTTCTCAAGAAGAAAAATAACTATGCTAACCCATAAATATAAAATGTGTGTGTATTCTAAAACAATGAGAAGTGTATTTTTGGAGATAGTGAAAAATTTAGAAGTACAGTAAACTTTCTGTCATGGAGTAAATTGCTAATTTTGTTTCACTTTCCTCTCTTAGTGAAGAAGAAAAATGCTCTTGAGTACATTAACTTGTTTCTTAAAAAACTAATTTAGCTTACTGTATTTTTTATTTAATGGATTATTATATTATCATATTTTTCTTAAATTTTCGTAAACGTGAAGATGCAAAGATGTTTAAAACAATGATTAAGAAATCATAATGGTTTCAGTATTATGTTAGTGTGCTGGAAGGCCTTTGATGTTAATAGAATTTATACATTTCAGCCACTCAAATAATTATAAAACTAGAAGATATTAGAATTGAGTAATAGATGAGATACAATTTTGAGGCTATTGTAATTTTGTAAGTATTTAATTTGCACTATTATCTGTAAACATGGTAAGGTCTTTTTTGGAGGGGATATTATTTTTATTTATCTGAATTAATGAATTTCTGTTTTATAATTTCACCTAAAATTAGGGTAAAATATGGCATTTCCTAGATTCTATCTTCAGCATTTTCCTTAAAGTTGTAAAAAAAAAAAAAAAAATCAAGCTGTGTATTTAGTTTATTTCCTATATTTGGATATGTTAAATTGAGGATTAGAAAAATCTGAATATCACTGATAGACTAATGAAATAGAATAACAAGGGTAGTATGCCATTTAAGTAACATGTTAAAAATATTGCCATGAATTTACATGAAGTGAAAATGTTTATTCTTGAGAAATAATAGATCAATTGCAATCATAAAAATTATTCTTCAGTGAAAGTTAAACATGAATCAAAGGTATATAGCATACATTTATATAAATTGAATAGCTTTAGCTAATATCATATTAGCTTTCAATATCAGGACCATTCCCTACAGATCAAAGCATAAATGTGTTAATACCATATAATATGGTAATCAGTGCCAGTCTTAGTGACAAGCAAAGTGGACTGCCCCCTTGGTGATATAATTTTACAGGTTTTTTCTCCCAGAATATTTCCTGCCACCCCCAGGAGTCACTACCAGCAATTCATTCCCTTGAGTCAAACATTCCTCTTAGGCTGCATTTTCTAAAATATCCTGATCCCTGGGGAGGTTAACACAGTGCCCTTGTTTTGTTAGTATGAAGTGGGTTCTCTAGTGACTAGGAGCACTGAGCTGTGAAAGATTACTAGATGCTAAGAGATTATAGAAAAGGGAGTTCCCAAGGCTAAGATCACTTTACAGCACAACTGAGACTGTGACTAGTCCTTGAACCATTAGTAATAATGTTCTCTGGAATGCATATTATAAATACAATGAGTTTTAAGCCTCACGTGATCATTTTTTGTCATTGACAGTGCCTATCTTACATAAGATTACCAGACAACAGGTTTATTCCAATGTTGGATTATAATCCTTTCCTGACCTTTTTCCATTATAAAAGAAACAAACTAATTTTCAACTTGAATAGCTTTTTATTTTCCTATAATGCTACCACTGCCAAAAAGGAAAAAAAAATAGGTGATTTTTTAGTGTCTCATTTAGTATTTCTTTATAACTAGTGTTAAAGTTTTGTTAATTTTACTGTATACATTTGTGAGTAGCATTTATTTATTAGGAGCCTGTAGGGGCCAGAAGAAAAAGAAAATGCATAAAAATCTGGCTTAGAGAAAACCACTTTTTACTTGCTTTCATTTTTAATTTTATGATATTAACAGCTGTGTTGTTTTTTTAAAGCGTTTTTATTTATTTTATTTATTTTCAGTTTTTTAGAGAGAGCATGTGAGGAGGGGTGAGGAGGGGTGAGAAGGGGCAGAGGGAGAGAATCTTAAGCAGGCTCTGCGCTGGGCATGCTCCTTTTCAGGACCCTGAGATCATAACCCGAGTGGAAATCAAGAGATGCTTATCAGACTGAGCTACGCAGGTGCCCCAGCTATGTTGTTTATTGCCTGTTTTCCCCCTATATAAGTATTAATTCAACTCTTGCTTTATTCCTTAAGTTATATTTAGCACCAGAAAGAAGAGATGAACAATTTACACATATATTTTATTCTGAAGAATAACACTCATTTTACATTAACTCTATAAAAAGCCAATAACAACTAGGTTGTCTTTTCTCACTGTAACCATATTTTGCTCATTGTCACAATTTGGTACCACTAGTCCCAGGTAACCATAAAGCAAGCCAAAAGGTCAGTTAAGAAACTGAGGGTGTGGTGGGGGGTGGGCGGAGGGAGCGCCTGGGTGGCTCAGTAGTTAAGCATCTGTCTTTGGCTCAGGTCATGATCCCAGGGTCCTGGGATCGAGCCCCGCATTAGGCTCCCTGCTCCGCAGGAAGCCTTCTTCTCCCTCTCCCACTCCCCCTGCTTGTGTTCCCTCTCTCACTGTGTCTCTCTCTGTCAAATAAATAAATAAAATCTTAAAAAAAAAAACAACAAAACTGAGGGTGTGGGCTACCTGGCTGGCTCAATCAGTAGAGCATTCGACTCTGACTCTTGGGATTGTGAGTTTGCATGTAGAGATTACTTAAAAAAAAAAAAGAAAGGGTGAAACAGCATAGTGTAGAAAACCACTCAAAAGTATTAATTAGGTTGTCATTATTACACTCGTGTTACTGAAGAACAGTTTAGTTATTATATAATGATCCAATATAATATAGTCTTCCCAAATGTAGAATAATTCAGATGGGCAGCCAAATCCTCAAGAGACTACTATAGGTGGAGTCTGTGCAGTCCAGCAGAATACTTTCAGGAAACTGCCTACCTGTGATTGCTATATAATTTAATATTGGAGATTTAGAAGCCACAGAATTAATGTCCAGGCCAAGAATATTGTGAATTAATGTTTTTTTATTTCTACAGATTAGGTTTGGCATTATGGCAGATATGCTGATCTTGTATAAATTACCACATTTTTTTGTGCTTAGTGTTGCTTGGGTGTATATTAGAGTGGATTTTGTTTTTTTGGTTGTTTTTTAAATTACTATTGATGATAACAGGCGTTCATAGCACATGGGGTATGGATTATGGGGACTTTTGTATTATGGGAAATAGTTTTTAATATCAGTATCACTTGAATTAAATTTTTTGTATCTGGCAAGTAGAGTAGTGCTTTCAGTTTGAAAAGTTTTTATAGATTGGGAAAGAAGGGTATAATGTCTTTGTTATCTTGATTTGTTTAAAAACTATTTCAGTTAGGTAAATACCAATCTCTTATAAATCTAGCACTTAATTTTGACATTAGCACTGTTGGCTCTCTTTAAAGATTTTTATTTATCCATTTAGAGAGAGAGAGAGCATGTGTGAGTGGGGGCAGACAGAGAGGGAGAGAGAGAATCTCAAGTAGATTCCTCACTGAGCGGGGAGCCTGACATATAGGGCTTGATCCCACAACCTTGAGACCACAGCCTGAGCTGGAATCAATAGTCAGCTGCCAGCTGAGCCACCCAGGTGGCCCAGTGTTGGTCCTCTTTAAAGGCGCTCACAGTGAGTCCTCTTGAGAATATAAACACAGGAATCTTGACTTGTTGTGAGGCAGTGAGGAGCCCAGGCTCTCCCTCTTCTTTAACCTTAGGCATGTGTAAGGGGTACCTGGCTGGCTCAGTCAGTAGAGCATGCAACTCTTGATCTGAGTTTGAGCCCCATGTTGGGCATAGAATTTACTTAAAAATAAAAAACAATAACAACAACAAAAAAACCCCAGTAAATCATAACTTTAGGCATGTGAACTTTTCAAAGCCTCTATTATTTAATCTCTAAAACAGAGATGATAATTAATGAATTACTAATTCTTTGGAGAAAACACATAGTTTGGATTTAGATATGATTTTCTAATGACATTGTTAGGTTAACTGTTCAAGTTTTTGATAAATTTATTACTCTATCTTAAGAACTTTGACTGTATGTTTTTCTCCTTTTTTTTCCTGCATCCTTTCTTTCCTTTGCCTTCCCTCCTTTTAAAAAAAATTCTGGTTGGGGCACCTGGGTGGCTCAGTCGGTTAAGCGGCTGCCTTCGGCTCAGGTCATGATCCTGGGGTCCTGGGATCAAGCCCCGCATCCGGCTCCCTGCTCAGCGGAGAGCCTGCTTCTCCCTCTCCCTCTGCCTGCCACTCTGCCTACTTGTGCTCTCTCTCTATCTGTCAAATAAATAAATAAAATCTTTAAAAAAAAAATTCTGTTTACCTTATCATCTTTTTTATACTTCCGCTAGTTTTTTCTCCTTTTCATTCCTTTTATTTTCTGCCTCTTCTGTTCCAGCTCTTCCTTTAGTTTCACCTTTACTTTGTTCAAAAGAAGCAGAGCTGTTAGTGGTAGGACCACTGCCAACTGCCTTTTTATTAAGTGAGATTCTGGAAGTACCTTCTGCTTTGGCCACTATTACTTTTTTGCCAAGGTGAAGTCCCCCTGCCATTTCAAAATAGCTGAACAAGTTCAAGTAATGACTGTAGCTTCTGCTATCTTTCTGAAACCACAGGATTCAGCAGCCAGGATGCTCACAAATGGGATGGCTATAAATATGATGAATTCAGCAGCTCAACTTGGAACAATCATGTCTTTTCTGTTATATGGATAGAGATTTATACCACTTTTCTGAGAGTCTTTAAAATCTGTTTAAATGAGGTTTTGAAAATTATTTTATCTTTTTTTTGGAGGGGGGTTTTCTTTGTTTTTAGAGGCAAATGCTTTGAATTATTAGCTTTATGTTATCTAAATATTATTTATAATACTTATACTGCCTATTTTCAGAAGGATTTGAGGCAGCATATTGCCCATATATTTCAGCTGTTTCTAATTTTCTGTTGCAAACAGTATTCTTTGGAGAAGAGCTACAGTACTTATCTCCAAGTCTTTCTAGAGTGTATTTGGTATCCCTGTGCTTAGTGCTTACAGTGACACAGAGGTCAGTTGAAACGTTCCTAATTACACTATAGGATTGAATCTAGCCCCTCAGTTAAGAAAAAAAGTAATTTTTTTACCTTTGAATTCTGAGGCCATTTCACTTGCTGCAAATGTAGTTACATTAAATTTTATTTTAAACTAACATTCAGTAAGGAATGCAACCAGGGAAGATCTGCTAAACTGTGCCATTATTTGAGAAACTATTACAATATAATAACAACTCCTTCTTTCTATGAAGTTTTACTAGATGGAAGAAAAATTCCAAGGCTATAACATTGCAATCTTATTCTTTTTATCTAGAAAAATAAAATAGAATATTAGGCTTCAGACCCAACTGTGCAAATTGCATTTGCTTTCCATCTTTTACTACCTCTGTGTCATAATTTTAACACATAACATAGAACTCCTGTCTCTTAGGCAGTTACCATATGGTGTTTATGTCAGACTGGATATATTTATCTAATTTTGTGAGATTCTTTTTTAGCTCCCAACACAGTTCTTGAAAGTAATACTGCTGTTGTTACACTTTCTCCTTACAATTTTTATGTTGTTGAGATGTATCAGTTATATATTATAATCATGAAAGTCTTTTGGCCTCAAACCCAAGTTTTCTTTGTGGCCTAGGATAGATTTTTCACAAAAACTGCATAGTTATAGCTGTGATTACATAGATTTTTAATTTGCTTTACAGTTACCACTCAGCACGATTCTAGGTTTTTAATTATGTTCCAGCACTACTAGTTTTCTCAGTGTAACTTAAAATCATAACTACTTTGACAATTTACTTTCAGATCTGATATATGATTCATTTTCTTCTTTAATATACTTTGTGTTTACTTTCTCATCCCCATTAGGTTCAACACATTAGAGACACCCCACATAATTGGCTCTGGTTAAAGACTTCATAAGTAATGATTCAAATATGTTTAGGATGGTTTATATATGGTCAAATTGGAAAAACTTTTATAAAATGGAATAATAGGGATGTGTTTTGAGAGCTTTGTTGAAACTATTAATATGTAAAATAAAAATTAAAAGAATATTCAATCAGAAGAACATTATGAAGTATTTCTCAGCTGTTTGGAAAGAAAGTAGATTTAGAACTTTATGTAAAAATTCTAGGTCAAGTAAAAAAACAATCCTCGTGTGGATTAGACCCTTTTAATCATTTATTTTGTTTTATAAGCATTCCTATTTATTTTTAATTTAGTGAGGCTGATACTGAGATGGCCTGTCTATAGCAATGTCAGACCACCCCTCTACTTCTCAAAGAAAAACAGTTTGTTTTAAAATTTCTTTTTTGAGAACATGAATTGTGTAATAAGTGTATAGTATACTGAAAAATGCCTACCTAGTATTTATAGCAGTTAAGTGTAGTTATAATAAGTTTTCTAATTTCTCATTTTAGTAATCATTTCTGGAGTACCTAGAATGTGTCAGCCAGAGCTTTTCCTATATTATTCCTTTTAATCCTCATAGCAGTCCTACAAAGAAGGTTTTATATATTATACGCATTTTACAGAGGAGGAAATCAGGGCTTAAAGGCTGAAGTGACTTGCCTAGAGTCACACAGTCTGTGCACAAGCATGTCTTGCTTCAAAAGCAGTTTTTTTTTTTCCACTACAACATGCTAGTTTCACATCTTCAAAAAATTTTCTCCATTAAAATTCAAGCCTTACTAAAATAAATTTAAAATACGTTTTAGACAGTTATTTCTATGAATAGGCACTGGGACATAACAAAGAACTTCCAATACTGTGAAACAAGATTTGTCTAATGGCTATGACCTCCAGAGCTGTGCTGGGTTTTTATTATTGGTCCAGGACAGTTTAAAACATCTTACTGATTTGTAGTTTCTTATAAGAGGTTATATTATAAGCAGTAGCATAGTGATGAAGGGCCCAGAGTCTGGGGTCAGATTTCCTAAGTTCAAATCCCAGCTCTGTGTCACCTCGGGCAAGTTAATTAATCTGTTTTGGTTTTCTCATCTGTAAATTGGATTTAATAGTAGTGTTTAACTCATGAGTTGTTTATTAGGATTTAAATAGTGTTATAAAGCACTGTCCCTGGCACCTAGGTTGATGTTACGTAAATAAAATACACTCTGATACACAAGACATGAGCACAAAACCTATGCCTTCTCACAAGACCGCTTTTTTGCCTTTTATTGGACAACCACTGTGTATTAATTAAGACTACTGTATGCTCATAACTGTCCTTTCTATATGCATAAAGTCACTGGGAGCTCTTAGGTGCTTATAGCTACATACATGAAAAAATACAAAACTATGTATAAAGTACTCCTGTCCTTGATGTTTTAGTTTCCCTTGTTAGGCATTCGGTTAGTCTCTGTCCTCATGTAATTTAGTTTTGAAGGAAATACAGATCTTTAACAAGTGTACAAAGTACTGTGATAGAAAGTACAGAGATCTATGGGATCACAAAGTAGTATGGCCTAGTCTTCTGTGGCTTAGGGTATTCTTACTGCTAGTATTCAGAAGGAAAATCAATTTAAAAAAAAAGAAATAGCCTGATGGTAGAGGTAGGATTTTCAATGGGCCCTGATGGGTAGGTAGGTTTTTACATGGGTCCAAAGGATCTTGGAGGATATCTCAGGTAAAAACAAATAATGTAAGCAAGGAGTACTGTGAAATATGAGGTACATTTCAGTGTGTGTGAAACAAGGTTGACTATAAGGGACTGAGGCCCATTGATGAAATTCTTTTGAGATCCAAGCAGACTAGATTTCAGATGGCAGGAGCTTGGAGTGATTATTTTGGGGAGTAAATTATGAAACTAAGGAAGATAAACTTGTAGTTGTAAGCAGTTGAAGGAATACAGAGCAGGGAAAGCTGAGGTAGAAGCTGTATGCAATTTTCCTGCTGTGTGGTCATGATGAAGGATTGAGAAGCTGAGGCTTTCCCAGTCACACTGGGAAAGCATATGATTCTGTGTATTATGGCTGGATTAAAGATTGTTGATAAGAGTACGCCATGTGTGGATGAGGAGTACATTGGTGTCAGCACTGTCAAAAACAGTTTAATTGTGGAAAGGAATTGGGAGCAGCTGAATTTAGTATAGTGACTAAATTTAGTTGGAAATTTTATTGCTCTACTGTATCTGTATACTGTAGACCAAACAACTGAAAACTTGAATTTGAAAATCTGTGCTATTATGACAGATGACATTTGCTATGAATGCAGGATAATGGGGTCCACTGTGAACTGGAGAAAAGTGGAGGGTGATGCCATGGCATCACCTGTTTATCAGGACAGGGCGGTAAGAATCATAATGAAACTATTAGTAAAATTTCTGCAGACTTTCTGGTAAGCATCATTTTTTTAAAAAGATTTTATTTATTTATTTGAGAGAGAGAATGAGATAGAGAGAGCATGAGAGGGGGGAGGGTCAGAGGGAGAAGCAGACTCCCTGCTGAGCAGGGAGCCCGATGCGGGACTCGATCCCGGGACTCCAGGATCATGACCTGAGCCGAAGGCAGTCGCTTAACCAACTGAGCCACCCAGGCGCCCTGGTAAGCATCATTTGATGCATAGTCAAATTTCTGCTTTTGTCAAGTAAAGCATTTAATTTCAAATGTGTTCTATATGCACACAAAAACAAATACATGAAAATACAGAAATGCACACATAAAATACAGAAGTACAGAAATTTTATTAATTGGAAATATTTCAGTGACATCCCAGGCAAACTACCTTTAGTAGTTGCTTTAAAATGCTTACAGTAAGCATAATTTTGAGGTCTGTTAGTGGATAGTCAAGTTTATTCTATTTTCTGAAACTGCATATTACACACAAATGTTATTTATTTCGAATTACATCAGGCAAGGTTTGTAGTAATTTGAAAACTTGCTCGTGAAATTGTGTCCCATCACTCATAGAGAATAGAAACGAAAAGACAGTGTTATGTAATCTTTGATAAACAAAGAGTCAATGAGACTCTTGGTCGTGAGAATCTTTTATTCAAAATTATACTGTGGTTTTAAGGGGCGGGGATCTTACTCTTTCAAAAAGAAATTATACACGAATGTCCCTTATGCACTGTTAGGTATTTTAGAGTCTGGACCTTAGACCTGTTGCCACCATTAAAGGATCAAACTGCGCAGAAGTCAGTCCCACGTCTGAACAGTCCTCTCAATTCCTCCATTCCTTACTTTTGTTATGTGTAGTCTGTATTTGCATCAGCGTGATGACCAACAGGGTTACCAGATTTAACAGATAAAAATATAGGACGCCCAGCTGAATTTGAATTCCAAATAATTTTTAAGTACAAACACTAAAAATTATTCGTTTACCTGAAATTCGAATTTAGCTGGACGTTCTGTATTACATCGGGCAAACTCTGCTTGCTTCAAGATGATTTGTTAACTTACAGAAATCTCAGTATGTGAGGCAAAAAGTAACTTGCCTGGACCAACAGCAAATAAGGATCACGGCAGGAGGCCTTCTTCTAAACTTGGCCTTTAAACAAAACAAAACAAAACAAAACAAAACACCCACCCACCCAGAAGTCCCAGGAGCCTGCGCGTTAAAGCGAGCTGTGCAGCGGCCCTCCCGCCGGTTTTCTGCGAAATGTAGCACAGTGGGCACCCGCAGGGTGGAGTGCAAATGGCCGTGTCCTTGCGGGATAGGAAAGGAGGTGCCGGAAACTTTGAACCTTGGCCAGAGTACAACGTGTCCACTTAGACGGCGGTAAGTGCCGCCATTTCCTTTGCGGGCAAAGACCGGGAGAAGTTAGGGGCTCCAGTTTGCCCCGTTAAGCTCACCGGGGGGCACGCTCATAGCCGCAGCACCTTGGTGACGTGGAATTGGGGTCCCCCTTTTGGGGGCTGATTATCCTAGTGACACGTCGAAACTTGCCAAGGCGGGGAAACGGGACGCCGCCTGTCCCGGATGTAAGATGGCGGCGCGGGGGGGCGGCGGCCTGGCGGGGCGGTCACGTGGTGGGGAGCAGCGCGCGAGCCTCCTTAAGTGATCTCTATGGTTCGTCCGGACGCACAGGAGCGGCGGAGCGCGAGACGGCCCGTGTGTCCCTGCGCGCGCCGAGCTCCCGCCGCTGCCACCCAACCCGCCGCCCGGCTCGGTTTCAGTGTTACGGGGCTTTTGTTTTATTCTCGCCTCCCGCCGAGGTGTACGGGATTTCCCCGAAGGGTGCTGGGGAACGGGTGGCCTCGGGACTTCCGGGCTGTGACTTGGTTTCTTATCGCGGCGCCGGAGCGGGTGTCCTCTGCAGGAAGCGCCCGGGGCGCTCGCCCGAGCGGAGAGCCGGCCCCACGCCGGGTGCAGGGAGCGTGGCGGCGGCGGGGGCCCAGGGGCCCAGGCGCCTGGCCCGGCCTCCGCCCAGCCCCCACCGCGGGCTCGGGGCGGGGAGGGCCGCGGGCGGCGCAGCCCGGGAGACGTGGCAGGAGCGCGGCGGGGACGGTCCGGAGCTCCTGGCGGGCGTCGGGCAGGGAGCGGGCGCGCGACTCGCTGCCTCCGGGGCCGTCCTGACTGCGCTGGCGTCTGGCTGCGCCTTTGCCGCCCATTTCCTGCTTCGAGTGGCCCAGGGGACGCGCTCCCCGCGGGACAGTGGAGGAAGCGGCTGCCCCCGCCAGGACCCCTCCGCACCTCTTCTTTCAGCAGAGCGGCCGGGCACGGAGAGGACGCGCGGCCCGGCGCCGCCTCTGCCTCTGGTCGCCGGCGCTGTCGGGGCGCGCCCGCGGCGGCCGAGCGGCGCGGCGCTGGGCGGGGTTTTCGGGCGCGGCGCGGCGGGGAAGGGTCGGGGCGCCGGCCCGACGTCGCGGCGGAGGAAGGACGGAGGAGAGCCGCGGCCGCTTCGCTCGCGCTCGGCTTGGTCCGCTGCCTCCCCGACACCATGGCCCTGGCTGAGGTAGTAGTTTGTGCTGTTGGTCGGGTTGTGACATTGCCCGCTGTGGAGATAACTGCGCAAGCTACTGCCTTGCTAGTGCTGGTGATGCTCAGCGCCGCGGAGGACAATGGCTGGGAATCCCCTTTGTTTTCCGGGGCGCGGGGATCGCCCGGGAGCCCCGGCGCGCGGCCGCCGCGGAAACCGTTAGTTCTGCGTGTTCCTGGAGGGAGGAAGGAGTTGCGGGGAGTGGGGCGGACGGGCGCGTGTTTTAGAGCTGGGGCGAGAGCTCAGCCTTCGATTCGCTCTTCAGAAGGAAGGAGTGAAATCGTGTAAGAGGTTAGCGTAACTTTTCCACCCTCATTTGTTTTTCTAATGCTTCTTGTAGCAGTTGGTGCGAAAATTTAGTGTTCACCTATTTTACTTCATTCTTGAACTGTAGGTCGGAGTGGAGTGGGCTGCGCTATTGGGCAGAACTGGCACTGGGGGCCGAATAGTAGACCCGTTATTACAAAGTTTGTGCCTTAACATTTTGAATCTGGTTTTTTGATCTATTCTCTTAGTAAACTTAAGAGTATTAAAAATGTAAGCCTAAAGCAATTAAAAGTTTCTCTTTAAACTTTGCAACTCTTTGAGAAGATTGAATTTATAGTTATGTGTACTGCTGAGATTTTTTTTTAACGTGTGAGACAAATAAATTTTTCCTACAGTGTGCCGTGGCTTTTTTTTTTTTTTTTTTTTATCCTTTTAGTTTAACAATGGGGGCTACAATTTTGCTGGTGTGGGGTTTTGTTTAGTTGGGTTTTCTTTGGTTTTTCTGACTCTCATACTTTTTAGTTTATGTCGTTGCATTTTACTATGGGCGGAAAGGATCTCAGTAGGAATTAAAAGGATGGTTTCTGGATACTTAGGGTTTAAAATTTAATAATGCCCATTTCATGTGAAGTACAACTATTCAAAATAGGAGCACAGTATATATAAAGAAAATGTAACTTGGATAACTCGTGAAATTACTTGATATTTTAAGTACCCTGAAGTTGGGTGGAAAAGATAATTTTTAAAATTTTAATTTCACTGAGTAAATTTTAGTACTTTCCTTAAAATACTGGTTTTGATTTTTCAGAATCAGCTTTGAACATAATGTAATCACAAAACTTGTTTAATTTTTGATGCTTAATTGGGAAAAAAGGCAATTCTTTAAGAAAAAAGGGTCATATAAGGAGAAAAAAAATTTAGACCAACTATATCCTTTTCCCTTCAATAGGAGTTTGATAGTTGTGTAAGTTAAAAGTGATCTAATAAGTGTACCTTGATTTGGTTTGGTTTAGCTTTGAGAGATGACCTTAATCTGATCTCATCTGGATGGAGCTGCCTCGCTGGGAAGAACAGTAAAGAACCTTACATTGAATCTTAAAATGCAGAAAATACTTGAATGTTGGTTCGTTGAGCTTGATTTTCTTGGTATCAAAGAACAGTGTAACAGGACTTTTATTAAGTGCCAACGTGCTATGTCAAACCTTGATTTATGGAGAAACTAATAATAAAATTCTAATTGCACTGTGATACTTTTCATTTTCCAAGACACTTCATTCAAACAGCCAAGCCAGTCCTCACCCAGCAGCGGTCGTCATCTTTCCCTCTACACTGTTTACCATTTTATAGAGGATCAACAGTTGTTAATCTGTACACCAAAGTATTACAAATTCTGTTGGTGATTTGTTGAACTTTAAAATAGATCAGCATATAGGAAACTATACAGTTACAGTCGTCGTAGTTTATCCTTTATTTTAAAAGTAAATTTCATCCAAAACTATATATTGCCCACATAATAGGAACATTTTTGAGTTGTTGGATACGAGGGTACTTCCTTCCATATGTTATTCTTGTTTGCTAAATTACAAGAGAAGATACTGCTCCCAGCCAACTTACTTTTAGTACTTATATTAATGCTATAATCTCCGATTTAAAAAAACACTATCGGCCTTTCACTTTTATATTCCTGGGCACACCAGAGAAAGTTACCTATTGAACATTTTGACTTGACAGTTTCCTACAAGATGAATTTGCCTTATCAAAAGTACAACTTACAATTTTGGTATTTTCGATATTTATTTGGCACATAGAACATAGCATTTAGGTAATTTGTATTAGCAAAAGCCACTGATGGGAAAGAATAAAGGCAGGATTTTGGGTGCCTTTC